TGCTCCCCTCAGCAGTGTATTTCAGTAGATCCTCCTGTTCTGCTCCCTACTCTGTCTCTGGTGAATCCTCTTATCCCCTGCACCTCTGGCCTGCACCCCAGTTCTTCTACACAAAAATAAATAAAACCTGAAAAATAAAAACCATACCAGGGCCTCCCCAGTGGCGCAGCGGTTGAGTGCTGGGTTGCAAAGCTGCCCGCAGCCTCAGTAGTGCCAGTTCGATTCCCGGCCACCGGGCGAGGGTCCCACATGGCACGCAGACCTCTCCTGCCGCCCGCTGCTCCCCGCAGCAGTGTACTTCGGTCCTTCTGCCTGCTCTGCTCCCGGCTCTGGCTCTGGTGAATTCTCTCACCCTCCCGCGCTTCTGACTGTACCCAGTGCATGTATAAATAAATAAATCTTTAAAAAAAAAAGGTAATATAAAAAAAAAACACACCAAACTAATTAAAGTGAAGTTGCCCCCACCCCCATACAAGAACTGTAAGTGAAACTTCAAAACAAAACCCCACCACCTAGGGACACAAAAGCAGATCCCTCCAGTCCCCCTCAACACCACCCCCCAGATTTTCCACATTTAATAACTGTCCTCCTGGATTGCACTTCCTAAGAGCGAAAACAAAACACAAGATCGGGAGGAAGCACACTGAAACTCTCCGGCGTCTCGCTGAGTCTCAGCTCTTCTGTGTGGCTTGTCCAGACACAGCTTCATTTTTTAATTTTTTAATTTTTTTTTAAACTTTGCTTGCTTTTTTTTTATTTAAAGATTTATTTATTTATACAAGAACCAGGGTACAGGCCAGATGCACAGGAGGGTGAGAGGGTTCACCAGAGACAGAGCAGGGAACAGAACAGGCAGACTGATGAAATATTCTGCTGAGGGGAGCAGCGGGCGAGAGAGGAGAGGTCTGCTGCACCATGTGGGTTTCTCCCTGGCAGGGATCAAACCCGCGCTGCAGAGGCTGTGGACAGCTTCACAGTGCGGCGCTCAACCACCTGAGCCACCAGGGAGGCCCCGGACAACACCGCTTTAATAGCGTATAAGATGCCAGAGATTCTGACTTCACCCAGACCCTGGCGGTGGGCATTGGGGGGTTCTAGATCCCTAGCATAAGCAACACGTGATGGGTCCTGGGGCCTCACTGCCTCCTTGTTTATTTTCTTTCAACTAACTCCTAGTTGAAAGAAAAGTGGAGTTTCAAGCGACGGCCATATTTGATAGCCTGGATATCCGCCACCCTGCCTCACGGCCGTCGGGCTGGTCTCCCAACCCAAATCAGATTTCCACGGGGCCAAGAAATCTTGACACCCCTCTCGATAGCCGCGTGTCCCCAACCCCACCTCCATATCTAGACTAAGGCTCAAATCCTCTTGGGACCTGTGACCTGCCTTGTTTACCCAGTCACAGGGCCTCACCTGGGCCCATCCCAGTGAGTCAGCTGACAGGGGGCGGGTCCCACCATTCCCAGAGCTGGTAGCTGGCCTGCAGGAACCCAGCTGTGACAAAGGCCACCACCTTCCAGTGAGGGAACAGACACTCTGCGGTGGGTGGAAGACGTGCAGCAACACCTGGCCCACAGGTAAGAGCCGGGGCCCTGCTGGCACCGGGATCAGCCTGGCAGCGCCTACCCTGTCTCCCTCCCTCCTTTCCCCTGCCCTTCTGAGGCGCTGAGGCAGTGTCCTTTCAAGGTGCCTCACTCAGAGCCAAATGTGGACTGGGGTTTCCTCTCCTGATCTTTGGCCCTGGGCCGGGTTTGAGGGCTGAGTGATCACCTTTAACCAGACATCATGAGCGCCCCGGGTCCTTCTGACTGCCCGTGATGATGCTCAAGAGAAGGGTACCCATGCTTTGCTCCCTGAAGTGGGCCCTTGAAAGGCCAGGCCCAGCTGAAACCAGAGGCTGTGGCCAGACAGAGCCCATTTCCATGAGACAGAGTATGGACCTGTTTCTGTCACGTACTTCTCTGCCTCAAGTTGTTTCTGGAAACTGCGGCAGGGGCTGGGATGAGCTCATCAATTCTACCACCACCATCCCCTCGCCCCTGGGCTTCCTACATCTGCCTCCGCCCCTCTAGTCTGTTCTCCAAACCTCACCCAGAGGGACCTGTTAAAATTAATGTCAATGTCACTTTGCTGCTCAAAACTTTCCAGTGGCTTCCATCTCATCCCCACCACCTAACACAGCGTGCACACTTATCCAGCTAGAAATTAACACTCCTCAAGGACAAATTTTCTTTCGCTCAATGCCTAATTACTGGTGCTTACTGCCTAGATACTGGGACTTGCATTCAGTAAATGCACTGAATGAACAATAGCTAACAGTCATGTGCTAGACCGTGCCACATGCTTTCCGTGTCTTCAAAAAAGTCTTTTAATTGCCATGATAACTGTGGTGTATTGTTACCCATGTTACAAAGGAAGAAATGACACCAGGAGGGACTTGTCCATGCTCGCTTGAAAGTCAGAGAGGTTGTCAATCTGAGGCTGGTCCTGTCTGTCTCCAAGGTCCTTGGCAGCTGCCCTGCCTCTCCTGGGCATCTCCATTTCCCTAGGAAGTCCACAGCTTTTCTGGAGCAGGCAGTACAGTCCTGAGGGGTGGGGGGAGAGTACCTGCTGGTGGCCTAGCAACTGCCTCTTCCTTTCCACCCCTCCCTGCCATCTCCCTGGGCTAATTCGGCCTTCTAGGAGCTGCTACTCTGACACTAGCCCACGCTTCCCTCCTGCACACTGTCTTCTGGATGGATGAGCTGTCCACAGGAAGGAGTGGGAGGCCAGTCCTCCCAGCTCTTTGGAACAGTGTTGCTCATTTCAAGTCCAAAGGTGGGGACTGAAGACCCCTTTCAGTCCTGCTGATCTCTAAAGCCCTGAGTGCCGGTTTGTTGTGGGTGTTATGATAATGTCAGCAGCTCAGGGATGAAATTCTGAAAAGTGCAGCAGGAGAGGAAAATTCCTCTGTGTACTTTTCTTTGCAGAGGTGCCAGTTGTGGGAAGCCATGAGCATGAATCTAGCAAACTCATCCCCTGTCAGACTGTAGGAAGCAGCCGTTCAATTGGCCTCATTAGGGCCACATTTTCCCCACCTTTCTGGGCCCACAGTTGTCCTTTAAAGGACTTTTGTTTTCCTTGCCTGTGTCTGCTTTCCACTCCTTTTAAGAAACAGAAACTGGATGCCTACTGTGTGCCAGGCATTGGATTTGGCCCTGAGGATTCGAAGCTAGCTCCCTAACCAGAGAGGGAGACAGGCAAACAAATACAGCACAGTAGAAATCCAACCTAGCAAATGCAGAGGGCCTTGCACACAGTAGGTGTTTAATAAACATTGGTGAATGATGACTAGGTGAGTAATATTGTGATCTGCAGAAGGGAGACTTGCCTAACCATGTGTATGGGGCAGGGGTCGGGGTGGGGGCTGGGGTTGTGCTGGGGGGATTCTGGGGAAAGGTTAGAATTGAAGGGAAAGGAATTCACCAGATGAACAAGAGGAGGGAAAAGGTGTGCTGGGCTTTTAATTCAGAGGAAATAGCGCCTGCAACTGCAGGCAGGCAAGAATTAGCAGGGTGAGCTTTGGGGTCACCCACTAGTCTGGAATGAAATGCATGAGTGAGGTGGACTGGAGTTGGTACCAAGAGTCAGGTTATGGAGACTTGAACCACCTGAAACGTCAAAGTTTTCCTGAGGGCAGGAGCTGAGCATGTCTTCAAGAGGAGGGAAAGACAGATGCTGATTTACTCCCGTGTTTCTGGCTCAGACCATGTGCTGGATTCCCTGGGGCGGCAATGGAGGGGCAGCAGACCTGGAGTGAGTGCATATGAAATAACCTGCAGGAAGGAGTAAAGTTCTGGAAGGCAGAAGGATTCTTAGGCCCGGGCTCGCTATCCATGGAGACACTCCACTGTCAACCTCCTGGACCCGCATCCTTCTGGGTCCAGTCAGGCCGCCTTCCTTTCTCCAGGTCTTCCCTGTTGCTCTACCCTTTTGTCCTGCAACCCACTGGCTCAAAGACCCGCATCCCTTATAAGAACAGTGGGTTCCATTTTACTATGGGGTGATCTGCCCAGCCAAGCACAACCCCCGCCCCGCAGCAGGGGCTCGGGTCACAAGGTGGGGTGCTGGGGCGGGGCGGGGAGGGACACTGTCAGGTCAGTAAGGGTCTGGAATCGGGGCGGCCTGGGCACCCGAGGGGGGAGTGGGAGGCACGGCGACCTCACAACGGGCCGGGCATGAAGGCGCGTCAGAAACCGCGGGGGCCGGGCGGCCTCCTCGTCGGTACCAGCCGCAGGCTGCGGGGAGCGCAGACCAGTGCCTGCCTCCTCCCCTCCCACAGGGGCCAAAGTACAGGCTCCAATCAGTGGGCGCGGGCGGCTCGGCCGCACCCCCCTTCTCGGCAGCCGTCGAGGCGCCTGGGGCACCGCGGCGGGGAGAGGCGAACTCGCGACCGTCCCCTCGGGCGGGACGAGCCCCGCGCAGCCGTGTCGGGGGGCGCAGAGCCCGAGCGAGCCTTCCCAGCCCTTCACCACGAGGTTTCCTGTGGATGGGGCGCCGGGGGAAGCGGCAACCCGCGCGGACTCGAGTAGCCCCCCGGCCACAGCCCCGCGAGGAGGCGGGTCGGCCGGCGCCAGGGACCAGGCACCTGGGAGGCGCCTCGCCGCGCGCGGGCCGGGAGCGCGGGACGCATGCGCGCTGGACGCCGCCGCGCGCCCCGGCGTCTCGTGAGGTCTCTGCGCAGGCGCCGTGGCCCCTGGCAACCGGGGCCGCAGCTCGGGCCGGGCTGGGCGTGGGCAGGGCGCGGGCGCGGCGCGGGCGTGACGCGGGCGTGGGAGTCGTTCCGCGCCGGCAGTGTTGTGACCCGCTGGGAAACCGAGGCCGGGGAGGGCAGGCCCCGGGTCTGGGGGTGGACCTGGCGCCCGGCTACTCCCGGTTCACAAAGTGGAAAGTCTCCCGGGGGAGGCGGGGAAACAGTGTTGCTGGGTCTTTATTGGGGAGGAGGGAGGAGGGAGGTGAGATTAGTTTCCAGCAGGAGAATCCGCGTTCTGTGTAAACCCACAGGCCGCACTGTGCCCGCTCCTGTTCACCTTTGAGGACGTTTAGATTGAATAGGAGACTGTTCAACTGAAGAAGCTCCCAGCAGCCGGTATTTGGCATCCTGAGCTGAATGGTTCTGGGATCTCCATGACAGCCACAGCCAGACGCTTGGCTCTGGTCCTCACCTCTGGTGGACGGGGACTGATTTTCCAAAGCGGTGAATAAGATAAAGTTGTTGAATCTGTGCATCAACCTGCAGTATGCGTTCCTGGACAATGTATTCCATGTATTGCAATACATATAATCATGCGTATTAAAACAGGGAGAAATCTCACTGTGTGTGTATAGAAAACAGATGTCCCGCCAACCGGAAGGTTCTAAACCTTCTGGTTATAAATAGGTTTTCTGCGGGTATGAAGGTTTAGTACAGTGATGCAGGACAGAGGACAGCTTGTAGTGAACCATTATCTGCATTAGAAGAGGCCCAGATTTCTGCTCCCTGCTCCCCCATACCAGTAGTATTCCCTCTGGCTGGTGATATCCCAAAATGCCCACAAAAGTTTCTAGAACTGTTCCTTGGACACTGATTTATCCAGTTAAATAATCATTGCCAGCACCATGCTGGGCACTGTTTTGGAAGACAGCTGTGCTCACCGTTAGACACTCCATCACACTCAGCTGGGGAGTCCAGTTTTGAGGGGGAGGCATAGTGTGGTGAACAGGACTCTGCCCCAGCCCTCATGAAGTGGAATCCAGTATGAGAAAATACCCAGATATAAATCATGTTATGTGATAAATAGCTCGACAACAGAGGCAACACAAGTCAGGGTTAGAAACACACAAGACCCAACCAAATAGCAGGGGGCATCCATAACCAGAAAAAAACAATCAAAGAAATAGCATTTGAGCTAAGCCTTGAAGGAGCGTCTCTCAGAGAAGTGGGGGCGTGGCAGGCAGAGGGGCCAGCAGGACTGAAACAGACCCGGGCCCCTGACACACAGGAGACTCTCACGCGAGAGTGAAAGGTGGGTGGTTGAACAAGACACAGCATATTTGCCAACTGGGAGCCATTCCTGCTGTATCATGCGCTGCTGGAAGGCCAGGGAATGCCTGCCTTGAGCCCCAAACTGAGTTAGGACCAAAGAAAATGGCTGTGGTCCAGAGAGAGAAAGGGTTGTGTGGTCCTGGCCTGCAACTGATTTCCAGGAAGCTGATTTCTGATTCTGCTCTCCCAGGGGCAGCTGCTAAAAATACAAGCACGCTGCTGCTTCAGTGCCAGAAAAGCAGGGCAGGGGTGGCCTCTTATTTTCACATCTGCTGTTCATGCAGGATCTTGGGGCATGTTTTTGGCAGATGGTATCTACTAGGGATTGTCCCAAGATAAAAATCCCCCGGAGTGTGTGCTCAGAGAGAGGGACATGGGCCAGTGGGTCTCTCCCTGAGTGGGCCTCAGGGAGATGGGAGCAGGTTTCCTTCTCCCTTCAGGACGATGCCTGCGATTGTTTCTGCTCCAAAGGCCCGGCTAGGGCAAGGATGTTTGCTTGGGGGGCAAACAGCAATGTAGACCAGCTGGGGAGCTGAGCTGGTTGGGAAGCAGGAAAGCAGGTGCAGGGAGGTGACAGAGACATGCATGCACAATAGCATGCAGATTAGGGGTGAGAGGTGGGAGAGGCGAGATTTGATGGCAGATGAGGAAGTTTGGTGGGGAGAAAGGTCAAGGTTGCCTGGAGGTCCAGGGGAAAGAGAAGGAGCAGTGATTGATGAAGATCCTTTGCCCCTGTGATCACTCAGGGGAGATGCCCAGAGGGTCTGGACCTGGCCGGGGCAGGAGCTGCTGCATCCCTGACGCTCAGTGTGTGGCAACCCCAGGCTTCCCTTTGTTGTGTGCTGGGGACTGTGGGCTCAGAGCGGGGAGTAGGACACCCGTGACCCCAAGCTGGGAAGGCAGACAGGACAGTGGATGAATCCAGGGCAGGAGGCTGGCCCAGAGTTTGTTCCAGAAGAACAACCCTCATCAGAGGATGAGGGCTGAGGTGGGGCGTCCAGGGCTGGCCTGGAGATGTGACAGGCCGCTGGATGAATAGGGAAATGGAAAGAAATCCAAAAAACAAGCTGCTCCTGCCTCACTTCTCTAGGACAGAAATAAACCCTTTGGGTAGGTAATTCCGTTTCATTTCTTCAGTTCCTCGCTCCTAAGTCCTCTCGGTCCTCTGGGACAGGTAGGAGGTGGTTTAGTAAATGTTCAAGGTGCCCCCCAGCCCTCCATTTCGAGCAAAACACTGCTGGGTTTACATCCCCCTGCAGTTCGTGGGCCTGTGTTTAAGAATTTCCATTAGCCTTCTCCGCCAAGGTTGAGAGTCTGCGCCAGGCAGGAAGTGGGTGGGACCCAGGAGCTCGTCGCCCAGAGGAGAAGCGGGCACCCGTGGGAGGGGAGGGCAGTTCTCCAGTGCCTGCCGCCTTTCTGCGGGTCCAGCAAATCCCCGCCCCTGGCACCGGGCTGAACTCTGTGTGGCTGTGGATGTAGACCCCCCACAAGCCAGGCTGCAGCAGCTACTCACCCTGCACCTGCTGGGCTGGATCTGGGTCCTGAGTCACCAGACCTCGTGACCCCTCTGACCTTTGAAACTTGGCGGAAGGCTGCAGCCCCTGGCTGGCTTTTCCTGGCCCGCGTGTCCTGAGGGGGCCCCCAAGCCTGGGTTTGAGAGCCCAGAGTCAGTGGGACCCGGCAGGTGGGGGGTTTTGCAGGGATGTGGACCACAGGCTGGGGGACCAGATGGACTTTGGTTCAAACCCCAGCTCCCCCATCCTAAATGGGGCAAATAATACCTTTCTGGTCTCTTTCTCTTCCTGAGAGTGTGGGGTGGCACACGTGGGCAGGAGATGCAGCTCCACACCTTTTTTTTTTTTAGATTTTTAAAATTTTAAGTTATCATTTTTTACATTTTTTAGACAATATTTGCTTCCCCCACCCCCTCAGAGTGAGTCCCCATAGTACTTCCTTCCCCAATGCACCCGTGCACCATCACCACAGCCCCCTGTGCTCCTCCCTCCCTCCCTCTGATCCCTCTCCCCCCTCCTCCCCTGCAGGATTCTCTGATTTATAATTGTCTGTTTTTGCTTTGTTGTGCTTTGTACTGTTGTTATTATTTTTTTTACACTGATGTCTTATTGGGTTCCCCTCTATTCCTGCTGTAAGTGAAACCATCCGATATTTTTCTTTTTCCTTCTGGCTTATTTCACTGAGCATAATTCCTTCTAGCTCCATCCACGTTGCTGCGAATGGCATGTGTTTATCTTTTTTGATTGCTGAGTAATATTCCATGGTGTGTATGTACCACATCTTCTTGATCCAGTCATCTATTTTTGGGCATTTGGGTTGTTTCTAGGTTTTACCTTTTGTAAATAGTGCTGTGATAAACATAGGTGTACAGGTGCCCTTTTGAATCACTGTTTTTGTGTCCTTTGGGTAGATCCCTAGTAGTGGAATCTTCTGGGCTTTCTATGCAGTTCCATTGGTCTGTGTGACCACACCTCCTTTTAACCCTCACCCCCTCTCTGTGCCCTGCAGGGTGTTCCAAGGAGCAGCCATGTCTGTCCTGTACCCCTCCCTGGAGGATCTGAAAGTGGACCACGCCATCCAGGTAAGTCACCAGGCCGGCGTGAGCCCCCAGGATCACCCCAGGGCCACTTCCTACCCCAGGGAAGCTGGCCTTGGGAGGCACTGGGTGTTGGGGGCCCACTGCTGGCTACACCAGGTAGCTGGAGGTCACAGTGGGAATGGAAAGGGCAGGTCACTCTCTTGCCCACTCTGTCCCAGGGCTTCCTGTCTTGGGGTACCAGTAGACCCCACGACACAGAGCACATCCAGTGGGCATGGGGTTTAACCTGCTCAGTCCCCAGAACCCCTTCCTCCTTCCATCCCGTGTTGAGAACCAGTGGGTTTTGACTCCAACTGCAAACTTGCTTGGGGTTGGGGGTCAGGGTGTGAGTCTCTATATTCTGGCTGCTTCGAGTTATAAAAATTCATGACATTGGTGGTCACGAGCCCTGAAGAACCTCGACCCAGAAACACAGACCCCTGCGGAGGCCACATGTCTGGACCTTGCCTTCAGGCCCAGCAGCATACCTAATGCCTTGACCTCAGCCTTGGGGAGCCCTAGGCTTCTGGGTCCACAGCTACCCAATACCCCCTCCCCAGGCCCAGGCCAGAGCCATGCCCAAGATGCCTGCCCTGCCAGTCCAGGAGACACCCACCTTGCTGGACCAGGGGACAGCTGCCTCCCAGGCTTCAGGTGAGTGGGCCGAGTGGGGTGCTTGGCTGAGAGCGGTGGATGCCCCACCTGTTGTGAGAAGCCATCAGGGCCCTATGGTGGCTCCAGCTGTAGGAGTTGTGGGGACAGTGCCCAGAAGAGCCCCAGAAGGTTTCTCCACGAGGCTCCCACATGCAGGGCTGGGCAGTCCTGGCCCTGCAGACTCATCTGCAGGTTCCCCGCCATTGCCATGGGCTGCCTCTTCCTGCCCCTGTGTGGTGGGTGTCCTCATTCCAGCCTTTCTGGTGCTCTTCAAATGGATGCAGATTAGGGAAGGCCACCCCTGCCCTGATGTGGGGCCCCCCAAGAAGGCGGCACGGGGGACCAGGGTGTGTGGAAGCCCCTGGAGGTGGCCCCCGGCAGTCTTGATTCAGATCCTTGAGCTTTGGCCCAGCTCTTCCTCCCCCTCCTCACTATGCCATTTCCCAGAGCTGCCTCTGCGGCCTGTAGATGGCGTGAGAGCCGGACCAGCCCAGCCCCTGGTGTTGGCCATCTGACCCGCGCCAAATACGGTCAGTGAGCCAAGCACCAAAGTGGGACACAAGGGACTTGGCATCTCCCGTGGCTCCTCTTTGGGGTCCTGTACCTTGCACCTCTGAAGGAGGGGACTCACCTGGCCAACGAGCGCAGCCCCCAGTCCTGCATTGCTGGGCACATGAACATACTTCAGTTCTCGGGAATAAATAAACAGCATATACAGGCGCTCTTGGCACAAACAAGCCACCGTGTGGGAGCCAGGCTGGGGTGGCTAAGCACAGCTCCTGAGTCACACCTTCCTTCTTCCTTCCTCCCTTCCATTAGTTCTGTACCCAAACCTGGCAGAACTGGAAAATTACATGGGTCTTTCCCTCTCCAGTGACGAAGTCCAGCAGAACCTGCCTCGGGTTCCAGAAGGTGCCAGTGTACGTATTTGTGTCTTGCCTGATGTGGGCCCAGAATGTTCTGACTCTTCCTCCTTCTTGGTCTGGCCATTTAAAGAGACTTGAGTCTCCTCCTTCCTCTGCATTCCCTTAACTGTCTCCTTATGGGGCTTTTCATTTTGCTCTTTCATTAGAAGGGCTTTGGGGTTGGAGGTCCTCGGCCTGCCCCTTGACCGCTGACGGCAAGTGGCAGGCCCGAGCCTGTGGCAGGACCATGCAGGACAGAAAACCCAGCCCGAGCTGGGGATTTCTAAACCCTATTACTTTGTAGCTTCAGATAAATGTCTGTGACTGGAGGGCAGCTGCGTGGACAGGTGGACTGACAGCGAAGGAGTCAGTCACCGGCTCTGGTCCCCAAACCAAACGGCCCTCTGTGGCTTGGGGGATGGGGCATAAGAAATAGTAGTGGAGACATAGTGACCACTGGAAATGCATCTCTAAAAATTTTTAGAAGTTGTCAAACTATTTCCAGAGTGGCTGGACCATTTTATTTTCCTGCCAGCAGCACAAGTGCTCCAGCTTCTTTACCTCCTTGCCAGCATGTGGTGGTATCACTCATTTTCATTTGAAGCATTGCTAGGTGTGTGGGGACATCTCCTTATGAGCTGAGTTTGCATTTCCCTGACTGCTCGTGATGCTGAGCATCTTTTTATGTGCTTTTTAAACATGCCATCTGTATTGTTTTGTAAACCATCTTATCTTTTACTCATTTTCTAAATGAACTTTTTGTCGTTTTCAGGGTTCTTTGTCCCAGAGTCCTTTGTCAGTTGTGTGTTTTGTAAATACTTTCTCCTAATATGTAACTTCTCTTTCATCCAATTAAAAGGATCTCTCCTAGAGCAACCCTTTGAAATTTCAATGAGCTCTACCTTATTGATTTTCTTTCTTTTGTGGAACATGCTTAAGTGTGTCCTAACTAAGAAATTTTCACCAAGTCTTAGGTTCTGAAGATGTTCTCATTCATTTTCTTCTAAATCTGTTACATTTTAATGTTTTGATAGAATTTTAGTTAATTTTTTTAAAAGATGTATTTATACAAGAACTGGGGTACAGTGCCTCGCTGGTGGCGCAGTTGGTTGAGCGCTGCACTGTGAAGCTGTCCGCAGCCTCTGCAGGGCGGGTTTAATCCCGGCCGGCGGGCGAGAATCCCACGTGGCACCCAGACCTCTCCTGCCTCGCCTGCTGCTCCCCTCAGCAGTGTTTCGTCAGTCTGCCTGTTCTGCTCCCCGCTCTGTCTCTGGTGAATCCTTTCCCCCTCCCACACATCTGGCCTGTACCCTGGTTCTTGTATAAATAAATAAATCTTAAAAAAAAAAAAGAACCAGGGTACAGACAAGAGGCATGGGAGGGTGAGAGGATTCACCAGACAGAGCAGGGAGCAGAACAAGCAGAAGGACTGAAGTACACTGCTGAGGGGAGCAGCGGGCGAGACAGGAGAGGTCCACCGAGTCATGTGGGTATCTCCCTGGCCGGCTGGGAATTGAACCCACACTGCAGAGGCTGTGGACAGCTTCACAGTGCTGTACTCAACCCGCTGTGCCACCGGGGAGGCCAGAATTTGAATTAAATTTTATATAATGATAAGTTTTATAATTTTACTTATGGATTTTCAATTGTTCCTGAATCATTTGTTGAAAAGACTATCCTTCCGTCATTGAATTTCTGCTGCCCCTGTTAAAAAGCATTTGCCCTATTTGTGTGGAGCTGTTTTGGAATTCTTTGTTCTGCTCCACTGATGAATGTGCCTGTCCTCTGCCAGTGCCACCTTGTCTTAATTACTGTAGCTTTATAATAAGCCTCAAAATGTGGTAGAGTGATTCCTCCCACCTTATTCTTTTGTCAGAATAATTCTAGCTATTCTAGTCCTGTTTTCCCTTCATATAAAGTTTAGCTTAACCTTGCCTTGATCCATAAAACATTTGGTAGGAATTTTGATAGAAACTGTATTAAAACTGACTATCAATTTGGGGACAGTTGACAAATCGATTGTTATTCCAATCCTTGAATGCAGAATCTCTCTCTATTTATTTAGATCTTTTTTGATGTTTTTAATCAATATTTTGTCACTTCCAGGGTACAATTCATATAACTTTTTAAAAGTTTTTAAAATTTTTAATGTTCTAAGATTAGAGTTCTGTGTCAAAAGAGAGTACCTCTCTCTCTCTCTCTCTTTTTTTTTTGAGTCATGTAAGTCAGGTATTGTATTTTTAATTTCAGTCTCCACATGTTGGTTTTTAGTGTAGAAGTACAATTGATTTCTGCTGTGACCTTGCTGAACTCACTTATTAATCCTAGGAGTGTATTTGTGGATTCTTTGGTACTGTCACATCATCTGAAAGGACCGTTTCATTTCTTCTTTTCCCATTTCTATGCCTTTTATTTCTTTTCTTGCCTTATTGCTCTGGCTACTTCTTTCAGTCATGTTTCGTCTTAGCGGTGAGTGTTGCCTTCCTTGCCTTGTTTGGGAACTTAGGGGGAAGCATTCATTCATTTTTAGTTTTTGCTTAATTTCTTCTGGAGGCAAAAATCAAGTTGATCCCCCTTTGCTAACTATTTGCTGTGAGATATTTCTTTTATTTAAAGTGGATATTAAAGGGGTATTTTGATACCATTTTGCTTGGAAATTGAGGGGCCCTTCGCATTTTCCTAGCTTTTTGTCAGGAGTGTGGACTCTGATGCCCCCTAGTGGCTTCATGAAGTCATGGCCCCTCCTGGCCTATGTGGGAAAAGAGCGTGGTCTGGGGATGGGTGGGGCCAGGGACCACTCCTTTCCCCATGCTCAGGAGAACTCCCCGGCCAAGTGAACCCCTTCTCCCTGGTGTCTGCAGATGGTTTTCTCAAGCACCTCAGCGGGCCAGGTGGTGGCACCGGTGTCCGGGAACAACCTGGGGGTGCGGCGTGCAGAGATCAAGCCTGGGGTGCGTGAGATCCACCTGTGCAAGGATGAGCGTGGCAAAACCGGGCTGCGGCTGCGGGCCATTGACCAGGTAGGACGGGCCAGAGAGGAGGTCAGTGCCAAGCTCTCATCGCCCACCAGTCTGAGAAACAGAGGGTCCATGGTAGAAAGACACAGAGCCAGCAAGGGAGTGGAGGACCCCTAATCTCAATCCCAAGCCCTTCCGCTCAGCCTCCCTCCTGCAAGACTGGCTCTGGGTTGCTGCAGAGATCCTCTGCCTGTCTCTCCTGGGCTCCTGTCTTCAGAGCCTCCCGCCCATCCTCACAGGGATCTGACTTCCAGGTGCTGTCTGTAGACAGTGGAGCCAGGGCCTTGGGTGCCACTGGGAGAGGCCGTGCAGTCAGTGCTTGGGGGTGCTGCCCCAGGCAGGGTTGAAATCCTGACTCACCACTTCCTAGGGTGTAGCCTGGAGTGTTTCCTCCGCTGGAAAATGGAGTCTCATTCTCCCTGCCTTGCAGAGCTGTAGACCCTGCAGGCTCCTGGAGGAGCAGAGGAAAATAGCAGCTTGGAGGACAGATGTAGAGGAGTGGGGGGACCGGCAAGGGGGGATGGGGAGCTGACTCTGGCCCTACCTCTCCCAGGGGATCTTTGTACAACTGGTCCAGGCCAACACCCCCGCCTCCCTCGTGGGGCTGCGCTTTGGGGACCAGATCCTGCAGATTGACGGGCGTGACTGTGCCGGGTGGAGCACGGACAAAGCGCACCGGGTGCTGAAGAAAGCCCCGGCCGAGAAGATCACCATGGTCATCCGGGACAGGTGAGAGCGAGGCCCAGCAGCCTCTGTGCCCGGGCGCAGCTGTCCAGGCCCAGCTCACTGTCCCTCCCCACCAGGCCCTTCCAGCGGACCATCACCATGCACAAGGACAGCGCGGGCCACGTCGGCTTCATCATCAAGAAGGGAAAGGTGGCCTCTGTGGTCAAAGGGAGCTCTGCGGCCCGCAACGGGCTCCTTACCAACCACTACTTGTGCGAGGTGAACGGGCAGAACGTCATCGGGCTGAAGGTAGGCGGTGGCTGTGCTCTGCCCCAGGGACTAGGGGCACTGGAGACTGGAGGCACAGGGTGGAGGGAAGGCTGACATTGGGGGGCAGGCCGCTGCTCCCTCCAGCCTCAGTTCCCTCCTCCTAAGACTGCTGATTCAGTGAGACCACATGCAGTTCTGGCACGGCGCCAGGCACACAGGAAGTGCTTCATGAATATTAGCTGTCGCTGCTAACACACAGAGGCCCGGAGAGCCATGTGTGGGGACGCAGGCACCCAGGTGAGGGAGTGCTGGCCTCATGGGGACCCCGAGTCTCTGTGCCCTCTCTGCTCACTTGGTTGCCTTCGGTAATTGGAATGATTTGGAGAATGGCTATTCTGAAATCCATGTTTGACCTTTGTTTATTGTTCAAAGGGGTGCTTGTGGCTAGTTTTATACTTAAGAAACAAGAGGGAGGGAGTGGCCTGGGGTGAGGGCGATGGACTTGGCTGCGGCGCAGGTGGTTCTGTGGAACGGCCGTGGGGGAGGAGGGCCCCTGATTAAGTGGTTTTATTCTGACTGCATGGCCCCTGGACCCACGGTGGTTCTCAAGCCTGGTTGTGTTTAGAGTGAGGTTCCCTTCCCTCCTGCAGCTGGGGCCGCCCCCCACGGCGGTGGCCTGGGTGGCGGCCTCGCAGGCCATGACTGGGAAGCCCTTCCCACCCCTCACAAGGCCCCGCCCAGGCCACTCCTACCACACATCTGCCTCCCGGTGCTTGGCAGGGCCTCCCCACCCTCCCGCCTCCTGGGGGGCTTGTTCAGGTGGCTCCCGAGCACTGATGTCTGTCTAAGGTCCCTCCCCCCGTGCGTCTCCTCTTCCCGGGGACCCCTCACGACAATCCAGAGGGAACCCGCTGATCCCTAAGGTGTCGAGTCCAGGGACACCAATTTTGAGTAGCTGGCGCTTTCAGACTATTGGCGAATCAGCTGCTTTCAAAGCGAGTTCATGGCTCTCTCTGGTCAAACGCGCCCTCGGGCCGCCCAGGGCACGGGAACGCGCTGCTTGCACACCCGCGCCCTGAGGCTGCTGGGGCCCTTGTCCCTTTCCCGGTGACTCCAGAGAGCTGTGCTTCTTGACGTCATTTATCTTGTCACGTTTCTCTTCCCACCCTGTGGCCATCCCTGGCACAGCTCGTTTTCAGGGCGGCTAAGAGGACAGCTGACCAGCTTAGAGGGGTGTGAGGAGTGGAGCTCGCCCACGTGCGGGGCCGAGGCAGCGGCTCCCCTGAGGCCTCCCTTTAGCGTTTGGCACATTTTGCTTTGAAATTTTCGATTCTTGTTCTCCCCTGGTCTGGCCAGCTTCTGCGGCCTCTCTCTTTTGACGGGTCAGCAGGGTGGAAGAGGAAGGGTCCCTGTGAGCTCAGGCTGGCCGACCGACGGGAACCCAGGGCTGGGGGTGCCTGGGTCCTGCCACCTCAGGGTTCTAGCCCAAAAGTGGGTGCTTGTGGCTAGGAAGGGCCACAAGTTAGGCCCAGGAAGAGCAGGTAGGGAGTGTGTGCATGGGAGACTCGGGGAGCTCCTAAGGGGAGGAAGTCACTATCCGAGGACCTGTCCTGTGCCAGGCCCATGTGACTGGCCTCCAGGTGAACTTGACCATGTCTGCCCGGGACCTTACCTGACAGACAGCCGTGCCCCTGCACTTCGGTGTCGGGGCATCCTCTAGCAGGGGCCACACCGACCCTCACAGAGCCCCTGCAGAGTTGCCCCGACCCGCAGGACAACCACTCACTCTCCTGTTCTTCAGGACAAAGACGTCATAGAGATTCTGGCCACAGGCGGGAACGTGATCACCCTGACCGTCATCCCCAGCGTGATCTACGAGCACATGGTCAAGAAGTAAGGTGGCCCTCCCCTGCCCCCAACAGGGCAGCTGCTGGCTGCTGGGATTAGATATGGAGGCCCACGTGGGATGCACAGGTTGGGGGGGGCACAGAGAGGAGGCGCTTCCAGTTTTGGTCACTGTCATTTTGTTTGTGACCAGGTTGTCCCCACTTCTGCTCCACCACACCATGGACCACTCCCTGCCCGATGTCTGAAGCCACAGGAGGATAGCAAGGCCCCGCCCCACAGGACAGGGTGGAGTCGCCATTTGGCAGGCTGCTTTCGGATGCCTTTTCCCCGGGGCAGGTTCTCTGGAGGGGTCCAAGTTTCCAGGGCGGGGTGGGGGGGGCTATGTGGGACCACGTGAGTCTGTCATTCACACACACAGGCCTCCTTGGACTTGGGCACAGTGGGCAGGGCCCACAGGCAGGCAGCTCCCTGGGTCAGTTTAAATGCCGGGCACATCGGTGGGTTGGCCACACACGTCTTCGCGTTATAGCTGGTCCCTTTCAAAATTTTCCCTCTACCGTAAAAAAGTTCCCAGTTTTGAGACAACAGAAATGTATTCTTTATGAGACGTTTTTCTTTTTCCTTTACTTGCTTTTTGTATATAACTAGAACCCTTCACTTCTCTGGAATAAAGATGTGATTTTAAATAAAAGCTCTGCCTTAAAAGCAGTGGAAAAGTCCAGAATCCTCATCGCCGGGGTTGCTTCTCCAAGCAGTGGTGAAACCAAGGCCTGTTTATGCATTGTTCCTGAGAGCAGTGATTTGGCTCTGCCTCCGTCACAGGCTGCCTGCCAGTCGGACACAGGGGTGACCAGAGGAGGGGACAGTGGGACTGTGGAGGGGGCAGGGCTGGAGGAGGGACACTGGCTTTGGTATGTCCCGCTGAGCCACCTCGGCCTGCGGCCTGCTTCCCCAGCTGCAGTTCCACCGTGGAGAGTCACTTGGGTGTGTTGGGATGTGGTGCCCTCATGGGGCTCAGGGGTCTGACCTGGGTGCAGGGGTGGTGAGGGTACAAGGGGTGCTTCGAGAGCCTTTGGCTGATCCTGGCCACCAGAGAGCAGCGATGCCCACAGAGCACGAACTCCCTGCTCCCCTCGACCTCGGCAAAGATCGCGCTCAGCTTTCCAGCGTGAACGTTAACTCCCAGCTGAAGGCAGTGTGAGTTGCTCTCACCCCCTCCCACGGCCAGAAAAAAGACACCATATAAAGAAAACAGGGCGAGGGTCTTGCTGTGTTTTCATGCTTTAATTCAGAGCTGTCTGCTGCGGGTACAACTCTGTTTCAACAAAAGGACAAAGGAGACGAAAGTGAAGACTCCCCCCACCCCGCCGCCCGTCCCCCCTGCAGTGTGGTCGAGGGGGTGGCCTGAATCGAGTGCACTGGGACTCGTGTGCACTGCACCCTGGTCAGAGAAGGGGTCGCGAGTTCACAGGGCAGAGGCCCCAGAACAGTGACATCTGTTCCCCCCACCCCCCAACGAGGCGCTGCCAGATCCCCCTGTGCTCGTGGGGACCGGGAAGGGTGTTCAGAGAAAAGCTAAGTTATCCCCTTGGGAGGTATTTGGCATAAACTCCGCTTGAGGCCAGCTCGCTGTGCAGAGTCCTGGCCCAGCCCGTTCCTGCCTGAGCCTGGACCGGGGGAGGCCAGGCCGGCTCGGCCGCTTCCGGCTGCTGGGTTCCCAGGGACCAGCAGTGGCAGAAGTGGGCTCCTTGGGACCTGGTGAGCTCTGGCCGGAGGCTAGGGAGAGGGAGGCCCCGCAGCTTTCTGCTCTGGAAGCTGAGGGCAGAAGGGAAGAGTCACGGCCAACAGGAGGAGGTGTTAAGCCGGAAGAAAAGGGGCGCTTTGAAGGATGCGCACTCAATGGGAGGCCCTCGCCCCGGCCTCGCCCTCCAGCCCCACAGCCTGCGCCCGCCCCTCGGAGGTGGGGCGTGGAGCCTGAGCCAGCAGGCCGCTGCGCCTCCAGCCGGGGCTGCCCAGGCTGCGCCGCCCCTTTGCATGGACGCGGCCACCAGCCTGCAGGCGCGCACACGCACAGCCGCGCCAACGCCGACCCGGCTCTGTCGCAGGCCGGGGCGGTGAGTCGCCTTTCCCACCGCTAAGAAGAGCCCTGTTGAAGGTCCAACCGGGCCCCCCAAAAGAGAGGACCCTCAACGCTGTGGGCTAGGGCCCGTGACCACACGGGCAGGTGTGGGGACAGAGCAGGAGTGGGGGCGGCAGCGGGCCCCTCGCGCCGTGTCCACTGGCCTGGGGTCCGCGCCCAGGCCCTCCCTGATGAGGGCTTCGTCGGCTGCAGGGGCGGAGTGGACGAGGGCCCCGGCCCTGAGCACAGCCACGCAAACACAAGACACAGGAGGAAGGCCACAGAGAGCACGACGCAGACGAGAGCAGAGGGGCTACGCAGCCTGGCTAAGTTCCGGTGGTGAAAAATAGAGAGATTTTATGTCGTCAAATATAGTCATACATTTATTTTCTCGGCAAAGCTTCGGCTATTCCTAAGGAGACACTCAGCAGCTCTGCGAGGACGCGGCACAGCAGGCTGGGGCCGGGGCTGGTCCCGGCGGCTTTGGGGTGGATTGTCCGCTGCCCCTCCGTGTCGCAGCCCCCGCGTCCGTGGGCAGCCGGCCGGGCCACGCTCGGCTTTGCCGGGCGAGGGGCGCTCCGCAGAGGTTGGCTGGTCGGAGGCCCTGACCGAGCGGGGGGAGCGCTGGAGGCACAAAGCGCTTGGCGGAGGAGGCTCTCACCCCATGGCTGGGCTGGCCGCCCGCTCCCAGGGCATGCAGGTGCCCCCTGAGTGGTGGGCAGAGGGGAAGGGCGGAGCCCACGAGTCAGGCGACAGCTGGCGGAGCAGCGGGCGGGCAAGCAACCTAGCAGGGAACCAGAGTGGTCCTGAGGCCAGAGGGGCAAGTAAGAGGCAGGGGCTCCCCGCCAGTGTGGGACTTCACCCCTGCAGAGTTGGTGGAACCACCCAGTGGGTGCAACCCCCGGGGGGCGGGGGAGAGGAGAGGGTTTACTTTATAAAGTAACCATGGTACTAAAATGTTAACAGCTTTGCTGGGTTCCCGGATGCGGTCCTGGGGAGGGAGGGGGGAGAGTGGACCTTCCCAGGTTGGCTGGGCTTGGGCTGGGAGCAAGGGGAACTCAGGGCACCCCACTTTGGCCTGGATGAGCGTCATGGCTCCAATCCCCTATCTTGCCATCATCCAACCTGCCGGGATCCCCCCTCCCGGAGGCAGAGAGGTCTAAGAGCTAGGAAGCCTCCTTCTAGAAAGCAAGTGGCCCCTGTACTGGGGACCCTGGGTTGGGTGAGAACCAAGCCCCAAAGTGAACATAGTGCAAAGCAAAGTTGGGCCCGAGGCCCCCAGAGAAACTTGGGGTGAGCTCTCCAGGGCCAATCAGGGCCTCTGGCTTTTCAAACAAGCTGAGGATGGCCGAGTTCAGCCCTGCCCCGAGACTGCAGGGCCGCGTCTCAGAAGGCTGGGGAGCCCCTTGAGCTGCCAGCCCCTGCCTCCTCTCCTGGAGCTGGCAGCCTCTCCAGCTGCAGCAGGGGCGCAGGCCAGCTTCCTACTCAGCACGCAGCCCGCCGGTTCAGCTCCGACAGGAGGAACGATCTGACACACCCAGAAGCGCCAAGAGGAAAACAAACCACGGAGAAGGACTGGGCTGAAAGACAGACACAGAACCCACACTGCCCTCTGCCACCTCTTGCCCGTCACCATCTCTCCTCCGGCCTGGGCTGGAGCCTCCCTCTGAATCCCAAGTGGAGAGCCCAGCCCAGGACCAGCCCTTCCGGACACGGCTGGGAACCTGGATCAGCTGCCTGTACTTTGGGCTGCAGCTGCCTCCCTCTGAGGAGATAATACTGGCCCAGAAGCCTGAGCTGGGGGCTGGGGGGTGGGGGGGCAGGGAGAGAAGGCGGGAAGTGAGCGGGGAACCTGACAGGACATGGGGGAGAGAACGGGGGCGCCCATGGGCGCAGCCGCCCCGTATCAACACACCAGAGACTTCCTGAGCAGGGTGTGCCCGTGTGCAGGACCAGGTGGGCAGGGCAGGGGCGGGGGCCTCGCCACCTCCTCTCACTGCAGTTGTCCAGTCAGTGGGCCTCCCTGCGTGGGTCTCTCCTTCTCCTCTGTCGGTGTTTAGGATGCTTCCCTCAACCCCTGCTCCCAGCCCCTGGCACTGCGAACAGCCTGGAACACGCCACTTCCACACCCAAAACTAAATAAATAAGGTGATGCCCCACGGGAATGTGTGAGCGGGAGAACGGCACCCCTACAATCAGTGGTCAGGCCGCCGGGCCGCTGGCCGGGATGGGCCTCCTCAGAGCTGGGAGCTGCCGCCCGCGGCGCTCGGGCCGGGCTGGCTCAGGGAGCGGCAGCTGATCCTGCGGATGGAGTGCAAGGCCACGGTGCAGCAGCCCCGCAGCAGGGAGCTGATGTTGTAAATGGGCTGGCCCTGGCGCCGCTGGGAGCGGCAGAGCCAGGCCACCGTGGGCACGGCCGGCACCACCACGGCCAGCAGATCCACGATGTAGTGGCGGCTCCAGTAGCTCTTGGGCTCCTTCTCGGTGGCGGCCGCCTCCTCCTCCTCTTCCGCGGGGCAGGCCACGCTCACTGACTGGCTGGGGTTGGGGCTGGCACCAGGCCGGAGTGGGGTGGGCCCCTGGGTGATGGGCTCTGGGGCCTCGGGCTCATCACCCACCGTTACCACCACGGCTGAGGTAGGGTCTCTGGGCCCAGGGGGGTGCGGCTCCAGCTCCGGGCACCTGCCCCCTGATTCGGGGACTGTCCCGCAGTCCTGGGCCTTGGTCACTTTCTCCAGGATGGTGCCCAGGTCAGGCTGGTACTGCACGAAGTCCGTCTGGATGGCACGCTCCTGCATGCAGCTGACCTGCACGCCGGCCTCCATGCCACACAGCAGCTTCTCGTAGGTGTTGCTGGCGGGGAAGCGAGGGCCCAGGCTGAAGGAGCCGTGCAGCGAGGCCTCCTCGGGGCCACAGTCCACCCCCGACGACAGCAGGCTGCTGGCCTCCAGCGCATCCGTCCGGCTCAGGGTGTCTTCAGTCGTGGCGAAGCCGCTGTCAGCCCCGTCCTCGTTGGAGGCCCCAGGGTGGTCGCCGGGGGGTCGGTCGCCGCAGACGGCCGGGTCGCTCAGCTTGGTGTAGGTGGAGCTGCGGGTGAGAGAGCGGGCAGGGGACCCGCCGGCCGACTCCCCGGTGCCGTCCTCCTTGGCGGTGCCGTTCTGGGCCACCTCCATGCTGTGCAGCAGCGTCTCCAGCTTCTTGTTCTGGATGTTGATGTCCACGAAGTACTTCTGCAGCCCCTTGTCCTTGTCAATCAGGTTGTTCTTGACGGTGTCGATGACCTGCTTGAGCTGCTTGATCTCCTTTCGGGCCTCCTTCAAGGCCAGCTGGGCCTCCACGCGGTGGCATTCCTCCTCGATCCAGTCCTCCTGCATGCGCGACAGCTGCGTCTTCAGGTCATCGATCTCGGTGTCCCTGCGGGCAGAGGAGACACACATGCTCGCTGCCCGCTCACCTCCACCAAGGGCAGCGAGGAGCGGCTGCTGTGCCGCGGTGCTCAGAGCCACAAACAGAAGGAGTGACTCAGCGCCTCCTGTCTCCTCGTTTCACGGGGCAGTGAGTGGGCAGGACAGGGGCCCAGGGGAAAAGGCAGGGGAGGCTTCCTCGTGGGGGGAAAAAAGGGTGGAGGAGACACCATCACGTCCCCCCGAGGCTGAAATACAGCCAACCATCTACCTTTAAGCCCATTTCCTAGAGAAGAGACCAGACCAGAGCAACTCGTACAGCTGCTACTGCTGAAAAACCGAACATACCCGTGGGCAGATCTTGACATAAAACAACTAAACACTAAACCTAAGATGGCTGCGCTCTAGAAAGGGAGACAGCCCCAACCAAGGTGGCTGTGAATGTTGTCAATGAAGGGATACCAGAGGCCCTGGGGAGAAGGCAGGAGGGGCCGCCTCGTTTCTAGGAAGAAGTGATCCCTTCAGTGTGAGAGATGCCGGTTTTGCAACTTCGCTCAAGTGGAGGGAAAGGAGATGAGGCTGAAGCACAGGCGTGAGGAGACTCTTGGGCCTGCGTTCCCGGCTGTGCCTAATGAAAGGGAAAGCCCAAAAAGATGGACGAAAGGCAGGAAGCACCGCCCAGAGAGAAGACAGAGCAGCAGGCAAGCCGATGGCAGAAGATTCTTGTCCAGAAATTCTCAGGGTGTTAAATCCCTGAGTCAGAGACGAATCCGGGCGCAGGCGAGGGAGGGAAGTTAGGAAAAGTTAGGATATTAGGATATTTTCCTAATATCCCATCGAATGCAGAGGCAAAAGTGGGCAAGCCTGGCCAGGACAGACCAAATGCAGCGAGAAAGGAGGAAACACACCTAAGCCGAGAACCCTGCCCCGAGTTTCCCCTGCACACGCCCAGCTGGAGCCCTGCAGCCCCAAACAGAACCCGCAAACACTTGACCATCACCGTGGGGTCACTGAGCCCAGCAGAGAGACTGTTTCAGGCGATCACCCCACATTTCTCAGTCAGATGGGACATGCAGTCCAGGAAATGTGCCCGGGAATCTCCCCCCACAACATGCTGAAGGGACAGGGGCTCAGGGGTCCACGTGGTCCTGGAAGTCCATGGCGGCATCATCTAGAAAGGCAACGGCAGTGGGATGGCCGTGACCGGATGCTGCTCAGGTGCACCAGGAGGCATGGGAGGTACCTGGTCTTCACGCTCCCGGCCTCAGGTGGAGGGCTCGGGTGGAGGGCTCTCTGTAGGGCAGAGGGCTTGGTAGAGGGAACTGGGCATGCTCAGCTCAGCTGGCTCCTGCTCCTGTCTCTTGCGGCCGGCAGGACCCCAGGGAGCTATACTGCTGGACATTACCTTTGTACTGGGTCTTGAAGGATGAGTTTGCCAAGGAAGCAAGTTGGGAGAAAGGGCATCTCAGAAGCAGGGACCCCGCACACAGAAGCACAGAGGTGTGAAGGCATCTTTGAGGAATAAAGGTAGGCTGCTCGGGATGACGGCATCAGACCAACACAGAGTGGGAGCAGTGTGACAGGACGGCAGGGGGTGGCAGAGGGGCAGCAGGGAGCCCAGAGAGGGTTGTGTCCACAAAAGGGCCTCCTCCCTGAGCCACACAGGGCAGTCTGCTCTGAGCCCCGGGGCTGCCCCAGCAAGGAAGCAGGGAGACTTCTCTGCTTCCTCAGGACATTAGTGCAAATGGCCAGGCAGCCTCAGGGTATCACTGAGACAATGACAGGAAATAAAAATAGAAATCCCAGCTCTGCAGAGGAGGCCCACAGAACACCACCTGTAACGCCACCAGTTCAAAACCACAGCAAATCCAGACTGGGTTGGGGTCTGGCGAGGCTGGTGGTGCAGGGTGCATGCTTCCCATCACATGCAAAGTCCAGAAGAGAAGAATCCAGAGACAGACTAGTGGCTGCCAGGTCCGGGGCAGTAGGGCAGAAGTGGTGCATAATGGCCTCCAGGGATGGAATTTCTTTTGGGGGTGATAAAAATGTTCTAGAATTAAGATACAGGTGATGGTTCCACAATTCTGTGAAGATACTTAAAATCACTGAGCTGTACACTCCAGAGAGGTGAGTCGTAAGGCATGTGAATCACATGTCTATAAAGCTGTTGTGGTTTCAAAAAGAAAAGATGAAGGAAATCTGGGTGATGCTGGACCGTCTTGCCCTCCAGTGCCCCACTGGCCCCTTGTCCAGCTCATGGAGGCTGTGAATTGAATCGACATGGCCCAGGAAGACAGTGAAGATAACACAGAGATCAGAGAGAGCCTAATGCCTTGACCACGGGCGAAGCTGCCAGCCTGGAAAGATCAGGAGTGACGCTCCTGGTCCGGAGAGTGAGCCAGCCTGTGGAGGGCACCTCTCCTGGGAGATCCCTGGGCTGGGCAGGAGCTCAGGCAAAGCCTCCGCGTGACCTGACATCATTTCCAGGTGGTGAGGAGGGCTTCTGGGGCCTGAACTATCGGGCCCTGAGCCTCCCGTGACTTCCTGGGAGGACGTGCAGGGCCATGGGATGTTTCCCTCCCAGAGACAGGTGAGCCAGGAAGAAAGGCACCAGGACACAAGAAGGGGAGGAAAGAAGTTGCCAGCTAAGACTGGGTGGGCATGCCCTGGGCAAGGAGAGCCGCTGCAAGGAGGTCCGGGGGACAGGGCTGGGTGGGGCCTGGAAATGGGTTCCAGAGGGGCTCCCAAGGGGCTTTGCTGGGAAGGGGAGGGCAGCTGGGGACTGGGAAGGGAGCCCCAATCATGCCTTCTCCCCAGAGATGCCTCCCTGGGTCCTCTGAGTGTAGAGCTGGTGCAGTCCCCGGGTGCCCACTCACCGGTCCTGCAGCCGGTCCTGCGTGTCCTTCAGCCGAGCCTTCAGGTGCCGGATGCATACCTCCTTCTGCTGCAGTGGGGTCAGGTACTGCTCCGGGGTGGGGGGCTTGATGCCATGGTTGTCACTGCACAGCATGTACTTCATGGAGCGCCTGTAAGGGGACAGTCACCAGTGGGCGGGGAGGCAGAGCCAGGCAGGGCCCAGGCGCCGTGCCTCCAAGAGCAAAGGGACCCGGCCCAGCTGGTTGTTTTGCTCTTACAGACACCCCTTGACCTTGGCTTAGGCCCAGGCATGGCCACATACAACTTGGCAGAGGCCTCACAACCATCCAGCTCTGCTCCTCTGGGGGTGGGGGCTCCTGCATCTAGGGAGGGGCTGTGGCATTTTACGGGCCTAGAAAAGACGGAAATTGGTGAGGTCTGTCCACTCGAGCAGCCACGACAGCCGCTGTTTTAAAACCGTATAGAAGCCGTCTCTCGCTGACTGAGGAAGAGGCAACTGTAAATTGTGAGCTGTTGGGGAGAAGGTGGTGACAGACGCAGAGAGGAGAAATAATTCTCTTCTCTGCTGACTCACCGTGCGGTCCCTCGGTCTAACTTGGTCTGTCTGGCCAGGGGCCCGGGGCACCCTGTCTGGTGAGCTCTAAGAAACCCCTTTCCCCAGAGAGGCCAGCCAGAATGCTCCTGGGCCCCGGGGCCCACACGAGTCTCGGAGACATCCTGGTACCCCCAGAGACTTTAGCTAGAGGGCACTGACCTGTGCTGAGTGACAAGAGGTTTTATTCCCCCACATGTGGGGGTGAAGGAGCCAGGATTAATTAGAGCGGAAGTCACTATTGTAATTTTTCCATTTGCTGTCATAAGTATTTTTCTCCAATATGTAACATTCTTATTTTACTCATTAGCCCTGTCTTTGTGGGAACAAATAGAGACAGGTAGAAACATAAAATGGAGAAAAAAGATATACTCTAATTCTTGTCTCTCAGTTCCTCATGCCTGGAAATGCCTGGCTATTTGCAGCAAGGCCGTACCCGAGGCCCCCCACTCACACGGGAGCCAGGAGACCCTCCCAGGGAGGCAGCGGTCTGGGCGCAGGGCTGGCACTGCCCCAAGGGTTAGTTCCAACGTGCATTACAAAAAATCTGTTACTAAAAAAAAGTACTAAAGCTGCCAGTTAGGTCTGTGCCCCCTGGTTCTAGGGCAGAGCCAGGGCTAGGACGTGGGGGTCTCCATCCCCAGAACCTGGTGTCTCATGGGGTGTCTGAGAAACGCTGCCTTGGTGGGATCAGGGCACCACCCCACGTGGACGACCCCCTCTCCGCTGGAAGGGGCGAGACAAGCCTCCAGGCGGTGCTCTGGCCACGGAGCTGCGGGCGAGTCTCTGGCCTGCTCACGCGTCCTCTCAAGGCCAAGACCAAAGTCTAACGATGGGTGTTGCCAGGAACAGGCCACCTGTAGCTTACAGTGGGGTGCAGACATCCACTCCTGTCCTCTGAGGTGTCAGCTCCGTTTTACAGATACAGGAGTGGAGACTCAGGCCAAAGGGATCCTAGCCTGGGATCACCCGCAGCCTCTCCCTCCACTTGTACTCCAGCACTCGGAAACAGGATTCCTACAGTTCCTATTTCCTTATCTTAGGGCTCTACAACTCTGCTTTCCTTGTCTCCCCAGCCCCATCCTGTGTTTCCTCTGGTCTGCCTGAGCTGGGCGCATACTTTGTAATGCGGATGCTTTCCATACCAGCTCCCCCTCTGCCACTCTGTGCCCCACGGAGACCTACCTTGAAGCCACTGCCCTCAGTATATGCGACTGGGTCTCATGCCCACCTCATAGGCAGGGCTGAGCCTCAGAGAGAAGGGCCTTGCTCAAGGTCACCCAGCCAGGCTGTGTGCTAGCACTGTCAGGGTGGCGAGGACATCCCCCTGGTCTCCCCCACCCCATGGCACCCAGGTCTCCAGCCGCCGCACCAGGCCAGGCTGGAGGGGAGGGCTGGTTACCTGGGCGTGGGGCTGCTGTCGCTGCCTTTGCAGGAGCCCGAGTTGCTGCTGCTGCTGAGAGAAGAGGTGCCATAGGCATCCCGCACGCTCACAGGTGGGGACGTGCGCCTGGAGGCGGGGAGAAGAGGCAGGTGCTCATTCTGGCTGGTGGGCAGCTGCGGGCACTGGGCGAACACCGCCAGGCCGCTGCGGCCCAAAGGGCCCCCACTTCGGGGTCACCGCCGGGCAGAGAAGCAGAGGGGAGAAGGGGAGGCACAGACAGGGGTGACAGAACAGACAGGGCAAATCAAGATAGAAAAACCGGAAGGATGTCGGTCTACCTGGCACCCCAGGACAAGAATGGAGGCTGGGCAGGGCTGCGGGCCAAGGGTGGGGTCCCATCTGCCCTTACCAAGGGGGTCTCAACTTCCAGGTGCCCCAAGCCCCAAGGAGGAGGGCCCTGCGCAGACTGAGACAGAGGCGGAGAAGAATGAGGGAGGCGGGGCGGGGGGCACACAGGGGTGACAGTCAAGGCGGTCAAGTGAGCCTGGGGGAGACTGCAACACGCCCCCAGGAACGGGAGGATCGAGCAGTAGCACTGGTGATGGCAGGAGTTCGCCGGTTTCACTTCAGACCCACCGTGTCATTCGAGCCCTGAAATAGTTCAGGAGCCGGGGCAGCGCGCATTAGCAACCCCACTTTAAAGATGGAAAAACCGGGGAAACCACTGGCTCCTAGACGCTGCAAGCAGAGGGCAGAGTGGGGACGGAGGCTCTCCCTCCTCCCGCCCTCTGAGGCCACTCTCCTGGGCTAGGGGGACACTCACCTGCGGGATCCGGCGGAGGCCCGTCTGCTGCTCGGCAGGGACATGGCCATGAGGCTGCGGGTCCGGGTGAGGGGCGGGATGGGCGGTGTCCCCGGGGCTGAGGAGAGAGGGCGGGTTGGGGGGGCCGCGGGGAGGGCCGGGCCGGGCCACGTCATCCTTTCGCTGGGGCCGCTGCCCGGCATGGCTTCTCCTCTCGCTCTTCAGCAGGACAGAGCGAGGGCCCGGCTCAGGCCACAGCTGCCTCCACCAGTGAACTCAGGAGGCTCCCGCCACCTGACTAAAATCTCGATCCTCAGAGCCTCAGGAGCAGCCAGAACTCACGGGTCCAACCCCAGCTTCTCCAGATGAGCGAATGGGCCCCAGGAGAGTGAGGGTCTTGCCCAAGGTCACGCAGTCATCAGGGGGAGTTGCCTGGCCCTGGGGCACAGCACTGAGCCCTCTAAGCTACAGGCCGGGCCCCCTGACCCTGACACTCAGACCCCACCCTGCGCCGGTCAATCCTCCCTGCTCGGTGAGGGCTGCAGCTGCAGGACTCCTGGGGCAGGGCCAGGAGCCCCAAGTTAGATGGGCTAGTCTCGACGTCACCTTCCCAGAATGCCAGTTGGTGCGTGGCTCGGGGGGCTTCCCGTCTACAGGGGAGACAAGACAGACCAACATACCAGCACACGTGTAGAAAGACATATGGATATGCACAAACACGGCAAGGTACTCTGTCCCGGCTACTCCAACATGAGCTGCGCAGGGCTCAGCGAACAAGCTCAGGCAGCTGCTCACGACGAAGGACGTGCAGCTGGCCCCTTGCGACCCCCACATGCAGCTGCACAAGGGCATGCCCGCTGCACCCACCCGGGCAAATGTGCATGCTGGTTCTGGCATGCGCTGGGAACTCAGGGCTCAGGCAAAGCAGATGTGGGCTGGGGCAGAAGGCCTCCTTTTGGGGCGTCTCATGTGGGGCCCAGTAGGAAGTAAGCATGCCTGCAGAGGACCCATCTGTGGCCCTCTTGACTAGTGGGTGGGGGGACTCGGGCCCTCTGGCTCCTGTCTGGAGTCTTTAGGCCTCTTTCCTGTATAGAAGTTTGGGCTCCAAGGGCAGGGGTCTCTGGAGGGGAGAAGCCCCAAGCTGGCCTGCGTGTTGGCTGCTATAGAGAGGAGGCCTGCACCGGGCAGCTCAGAGCTCTAGGGCCTGAGGTGGAGGACCAACGTGCTAGTCCTGTGCCAGCTCCAGAAACCCCAGTCCCTTCACACTCAGGCCAGGGACTAAGGACAGTAGCCTGGGTTATAGGAGTCCCAGCTGAGGACATGGCACCCCAGAGCTTCCCCATGCTGGGAGAGAAGCATTCACTGAACCGCGTTCCATGCCAGCCCCATGCCAAGCACATTACGTACATTACGCCTTCGACTCCTCCCAACAACCCTATGAGGAAGTGCTGAGGTTAGTCCCTCTGCAGGTGAGGAATGGAGCCTCTGAGAGGGACGGGACTGCCCGAGTCATCCTCCCGGTATGGGAGCCAGGCCAGCACTTGCTGCTGAGGGCCGGATCTCAGTCCCGGAGTCCCCAGCCCAGAGCACCACCCCTTCCCATGTCGGGAGCTCCCAGGAGCATGGTCAACCTGGCCAGTGGCCGGGCTGCCTCCTGGGCAGACAAAGGCACTGCTCAGGTGGCCTGTTTCCTGGCTGTGACACAGAAGGCAGCCTGTTCCCCTAGAGGGCTCAGACACAGCCAGCATTGTCTGCCCAGAGGTGTCAGGTGCCAGGAGCAGGAGCCACCGACACCACACCTGTTACCTGAGCTGCTCTCCCCAGTGTGGTGACACATTCTACCCACCATGCCCAATCGCCCAGGCAGGGCCTCCTGGAACTGGAGGGCTGGGCCCTAGAGGAGGAACCATGGGACAAGGGTGTTCCCCCACACTTGCCAGTAAGGCCACCAATGGCTCTCTACCTCCCGGGCACTGGGGGCCCTTGACTGGGAACAGCTGTGGGGAGGGGAGATGGTCCAGGGAAGTGGGCGAGGGCTTCAAGGATCACCTGTCCTTCAAGGACCCTCCGGTGGCCAGGTGAGTTCTGAGTGCTTTTACAGGCCTTGTGCCATTATTTCAAATACTAGCAGGATGTGCCATGGCCTTTGGGCTCAGCTGCACAGCTGCAGGTCTGACAAAGCTGGTCTTACATGCTGCCCTCCCCTGCCTTCTTCCCTCCCAGCTGTTGGGGGGATGCAAAGAGGAGGCTGTGCCTTCAAGAGGACTTCAGCAGTGACAGGACAGGAATTAGACCCGGGAGTGGGCCTGGGTGCCAGCTTGGGTGCCTGTTGCTAAGAGCGAGGAAAGTCCGGGTGGAGTTCTCGAGGCCTAGGTCCTGGGAGGCAAGATGCCTGGTGTGCCTGGAGCTACGTGTGGCCTCGGTAAATGAGGGCTTTGTCCCGGCTGTCCCGCTACTACCTTGCTTGGCAACCCCGTGCCTCCCTCCTTTTCAGCTCCCTCTTCCTTCCTCTCTGTGGGGGAGGGGGCCAGTTGATCAGGGTTGGGTTGGCATTTGCCCAGTCTCCTGGGAGGCCAGAGGCAGCCATTCATCCGGGACAAGGTGGAAGTGACATTTCCCCTGCTGGGATGGGACCTTGCAGGCGGGGAGGTGGGGGGCCCTCGTGGGAAGGCAGAAGCCACCCAGGCCCAAAGGAGTCACCTCTCCAGGATCCTAGTCAGAGTCTCGGTGTGCACCCCTGTGCTCTCAGGTCTGCCCTCCCACCAGGCCCCTGAGAGGAGGCAGGTTGCCATGGCATTTGTCACCATGCCGCCTGCTCAGCCTGGAGTCCCACAGGCCTGTCCCTAGGTGGCCAGAGGCTGCCACTTGAAATGGGAGTGGAGAGGAAACAGGTAGCCGTGGGGAGCTGGGCTGACAGTCTCACAGGCTCAGCCCCAGGAAAGTCTGTTGCTCCCTCCTCTGTGTCTGTTGGCCTAACCTGCAGAACACAGGCCCTGCCCTCACACACATCAGACTCTCACCCCTACCCCCCCCCCACGAGTCTCTCCTCCTGCACTTCCCCGACCCTTCCCCGACCACTTAGCAGGCCATGGCTTGATTTGAAACACAGAAAATACCACTGGGGATTCATAAAAAACAAGCACAGCCGAAGCACAACAGCAATGATGGTTTCAGGCACATTTGATAGACCAAGGGTTGGATTACAGGATCTCTAAGACTCTTCTGGAGCCAGTCTCTGATTCTAAAGCTGTTGATAAAATGATGGACTTGTTAGGGGGAAAAGGATGTCCTAAAGCTAATCCCACCCCAGGCCAAAGCCAAAGACACTGGGAACTCCAAATCCCATCCCCACCAAAGGGAAGGTGGCTGGGACCTGAGGGTGGGGTTCAGCAGCCAGGTTGGTATAAAGCCAGACATGTGGGCTTTGGAGGGGTCCCCCATTTTGGTTCCCCGCCAGCTCGCAGCGTGAGGCCAGCTCTGAGAGTGCCTTTGGGTTTCCAGGTTGTGGGATCGGGTAGGACGCATTAAAGACTTTATTTCCCTATTTTCTCCCTGAGTTGTACATTTTCCTTATTTCCTTTTCCCTTGTAAATAAACCTTTTATGAACCTTTTGTGTGTGCCTGCGGTGGAGTATTCATAAGTCCCTTGTAAGCGCACGGGTGAGGACCCACAGCCAGGAACCCGTTCAATATCGGGGCTGCTCTATAACAGACTTGCATCTGATGCTTTTTGCCCTCCAATTGCTAGGACTTCCAGGTTTCAGATACCACAGCTGTAAAAATTAGGAAGCCTTCTTCAAAGAGACATTTTACTCAATTGGCAAATCATGGGGGAGAAACCAGGTCTTTGGGTTAATCTAATATTCTAGGTAAGTGAAAGTCCCTGCATATACTATAAATTATCTCTCTTTTTTTTTGCAGAGAATTAGCCATCGATATAAGAAGAAAGCTATCCTAAACTCAAAGGAACAGAACAATCTGTGCCTGATGACTCAAGCCCCTGACAGCTGTGGAAAGAAGAGCATTGCAACCAACAGAACAGAACTCGGAGGGCTCCTCTCCCCCAAGGCAACACTAGAATGCGGCACCCCACCCAGAACACAGATCCTGAGCTCTTAGAATGCTAATGCAGAGCCGAGTGGGAGGTTCCAGCAGCCATTCTCTGCGCCTCAGAGGATTAGCGCCTTTGGGCTGGCAGGGCGACCCAGGCTGAGGCATTCAGCGAACCTTCCACTGCTTTCACTGCTCAGCCTCGGGGCTCCTCTGGCTGCCCTGGAAAGCCAGGCCTGGACTCGGGCAGGGGCAGCTGCAGCATTTCCCCCACTCACTTCTTGTGCCTGCCCAAGCTGCCCTCAGAGCTGGGGCCATAGATGGAAGCCCCTGCACTCGCTGTTCTCACTGTGGCAACCCCAATGCAGCCACAGGGTAGACCGGCAACTTGGCCAAAGACTGTGAGGGGTTTCCAAGGCTGGGAGGGGTTTCCAAGGCAACCAGCCGGGGACTGAAGGCTGAGGAACTGGGAACTTCTGCTGGTAGACTCTGTTCCAGCTTGGAGGGCATCATGCCAGTGGTCGTCAAGCCCCCCAGAGAACCTGCTTCAGGCACGGCTGGGGGTGGCTCTGGCCTCCCTGTCACCTAGGAAGGCACCTGTTGCGTGTGATCTACACAGGGACGGCCTCAACTGAGGCCACTTTTAAAAAAGGAGCTTTGCAGATTAAAACTCTACATAATACATATATTTTCACAAGATACTACTTCACTTCCACTAGGATAGCTACAAACAAAAAGATGGGCGATAGCAAGGCTAGGCGAGAAGCTGGGGATGAAAAATGATCCCATGTGGAAAAGAGCCTGGCAGTTCCTCAAAAAGTTAAGCACAGGGCCTCCCCTGGTGGCGTAGCGGTTGAGCGCTGGGCTGCGAAGCTACCCGCAGCCTCTATAGTGCTGGTTCGATTCCCAGCCACCGGGGATGGTCCCACATGGCGCGCAGACCTCTCCTGCCATGCCTGCTGCTCCACCCAGCAGTGTACTTCATCAGTCTGCCTGTTCTGCTCCCCGCTCTGGCTCTGGTGAATTCTCTCACCCTCCCGCGCTTCTGACTGTACCCAGTGCTTGTATAAATAAATAAATAAATAAATCTTTAAAAAAAAAAAAAGTTAAGCACAGAATTCCCACATGACCTGGTGATTTTACCAGTAGGCATATACCCCACAGAGTAAAAACAAGCTTTCCAACAAAAACTTGTACAGGAATGTTCACAGACACTATTCCCAACAGGCAAGAGGAAGAAACAGCCCAAATATCCATCAGAGGACAAATGAATAAACCAAATGTGGTCCCTGCATAAAAGGAGTATCGTTTCGTCAGGAAGAGCCGCGGAACACCGATCCGCCTCGGTGGCTCTTGTATATATTTATTATGCTGAATGGAAGAAGCCAGTCAGTCACAAAGGCCACATCACAAAGGCTTCCCAATTGCTGAGATTCTACAGCGGGCAAAGCCACAGACTCAGCCTAGTGGTCGCCACAGGCGGGGGCAGGAGGGCTGGCGAGTGGCTACTCACTGAATGGGATTTCTTTATAGGACGATGAAAAGTGTTCAGAAGTAGATATTCATAACTTCGTGCCTATACTAAGAGCCCTTAAATTGCCTATTTCAAAAGTGTGAATTTTATGGTATGTGAATTATATCTCAGTAGAAAACAAAATATTATAGCTTTGTACATTTTAGTGGACAGATGTAAAAGGACAGGCCAGGTGCACAAAGGGGCTGGGAACTGCCCAGGCTGGTCAGGTAAGTTCCCACAGGAAGGAGAACTGGAGCCAGGCCACCTCCTCCCGCTCCCCGACTTCAGGCAGCCAGGCCAGGCGCTTCCCTGGTGCTCGATTCTGGGTCAACCTGGAGGAGAGGCTGCCTGAAGGTTTTGCATTTCCACAACCACACCAGATCCTCTCAGGTGCCCTGTGGGGGATGCAGGTGCAGACGGATCCACCTGACACATGGGAACCTGAAGCCGTAGAGGCTCCCAGATTACCCACGGTAAGTCCTAGGACTCCAGGTTACGGGCGCCATAACCTGGCGCATTGTGAAGGTCTGCATTTCAACTGCATCGTGAAGGTCTTGTAATAAAATAGACCTGGCACGTGTGTTATTATCCTGCATAAAGAGGGAAAGTCCTGCATAAAGAGGGAAAGTCCCTGCATCCTAGGCTCCTCACGTTGTCATACAAGCAGGATACCACAGAAATAGGAGGTAGGAGGAGCAAGGAAGCAGCTCTTCCTCCACGCCCTTGCTCCCTAGCCAGCGTGCGGTCTCTGCCCTGGCCTCCAAGAACCAGCCTTGTGGTCAGAGAAGAGCCTCACCACAAGAACCACTGTTTTAGGCTCCCCCAGCAGCTGCTGCGTACCATACCAGGGGGCTGTTGGAGTGCCCCATGAGCGATCTTAGCTTCTCTGAGCCACAACACATGCTCCTGTGGGTGACCTTTGGCCCTTGACCTCATGCGTTCAATGGGAACACCCTCCTCACCTTGCCTGTCTCTTCAGGATCCAGCCAAGGTACTCAATGGAGGGAAGGGGGAAGGTCTTAGCTAATGAGGGGACTGTACATTCCTTGCTATTACTACCATGACCTCTTAAAGGAGATCTTTTCCTGGTAGGAAGCAAGTGCAGGTCCAGGGGGGTGACTTCCCAGCACCTGGGGTAGCCTCCAGGGCAATGCTGGGGGAACCCTGGTTTCTACCCCTCCACCATCCCAGCTGCTCCAGGGCTGTCCCTCTGCAGACACCCACAGGGAGGTGTGGGAGACTGAGGGGCCATGGCACTTGCCCCGGCTCGGCAGCCACCTGGCAAGTGACTCCCAGCAGATGGAGGCCCTTCAGCTACCTTGGCCACAGCATATGCTTTCCTGGGTTTCCTGGCTGATAGAGCTGTCAAGCCTCTAGGCCTGGCTCCTCCCCCTGCCCCTTCCTCCTGAGATTCCAGCATTAAGGCAGGTGGAAGGTGGAGCTGATGGGCCTCTGACCTATGGATTCTGTCCTCAAATCTCTGCCTTGGTTCTTAGGATCCTTGAGTCAGTGGCCCCCTCACACCCTCTGCATTTACCCAAAGTACCAGCTGGGGAAAACGCACTCTCAGAATTTGAGAATGGAAAGGATCTGTGGAGACTTGGTCACAGCCCATCATTTTACAGAGAAAAACTGAAGTCCAGAGAGAACATGTGATTTGCCTGAGGTTGCCCAGCATGTGGGGGGCACAGAGCCTGGGCTGGAGCTGGGCTCCTGACTAGTGATGAGGCTTCTGCTCTGCAGCCCCCCTGTCTCATCCCATTTGCATCCAGGCAAAAGTTCTACAGAATAAGAACAAAGGGAAGCTTCTGAATAAAGAAGCCTTGGCAGAAGAGCTTGGGATAAGATAGGAGAGGCTCACCAACGCAAGGACACTCACAAATGCCACGCTGTAGAACACACATTGAAACTGAGGCTCGGGGAAGAAGGGAATGCAGTAGCCTGACCATGAACACAGACACAGCTGCAACAACAAGGCTCAGATTCGACTCCAAGCTGCTTGGCTGTTGAAGCAAAAGAGAAGTTATGTCCAGTCTTCTTGGTCTCACAGGTAAGGGGGAGCGGGCAGCAGACTAATTCTTCAGGAAAAATAAGAGGTCCCTAATACGAATTCTAAAAGAGACATTAGGGGCCTCCCTGGTGGCACAGGGGTTAAAGTCTCAGTACTATGAAGCTATCTGCAGCCACTGCAGCCTGAGTTCAATCCCCAGCCAGGGAGCTACCCACATGGCGCAGCAGACCTCTCCTGTCTCTCCCGCTGCTCCCCTCAGCAGTGTATTTCAGTAGATCCGCCTGCTCTGCTCCCCACTCTGTCTCCGGTGAACCCTCTCACCCCCTGCACCTCTGGCCTACACCCCAGGTCTTGTATGCATAAATAAATACAACACATCTTTAAAAAAATATAAAAGACATGATTGCATGGGGTTTTCTGTAGGGAGAGGACTACCCTTTTGGCCATCTGAAGAAAGGTCTTAAAATAGAGGAAATAAGGTGCCCTCAGAGCTCCCCCAAGCTGCCTCTATGTGCTGTGGGACATAAGGACCAAAGGGCCAAGGGGACTGCTGATGTTATCTCATGGGGTTAGCGACCCCTCCCACCCCCACCTAACCCCTACTGGATCTGAGATCAGACTTCCTGGGAACGCCTAACAGGGAAGCACATCAGCTCATTCTGTCTCATGCACTCCCTCGCTCTCTCTCTTGAGATTTCAGGACAATCTAGTTCAACTGCCACATTTTCTAAGTAGAAAACTGGGGTCTTGCCAAAGGCCACAGTGTGAATTATAGGAGCAGGTGATGGGAGGCAGAAGGTGGGCCAGTTGATTCTAAATCCCATCAACCACTCTGGACATGCTGCTCCTGCAGGAAGCCAAGTCTCATCTATCTCCTTGAAGCTCCCGGGTGCTCAGCATGGAGATACTCCCTCGCTCACCCAACCCTGCCTGTTTTAGCCCAGGAACCTGGTGATCCTGTGTCAGCATCCTTCATCTCTCCTCCCAGATCCTTTCTTTCTCCAGCTGCCAGCCTCCCTGCCATCTGCAGCAGCTGATCCCTGTCCTGATGTTTTCCAGTGTCATTTCCCATTTCAAGGTGAATTCTTTTGCCTTCATGAAGATCCAGGGCCTTCCATGGGGCCCAGTGCTAGCTGAAGCCCCTCTCCCCAAGCCTCCCTTCCCTTAATTAAGCTCAACTGAGCATTAAAAAAGGCTTACCACCTAGGAAGGGCAGACTCTGAGGCCAGCAAACTAGCCTGAGGGCACAGGGCAAGCGGGTGGTCACGCAGAACTGATTCCAGTTGCCTCTCAGAATTTCACCTCCACACTCAGAAAATCCAATCACTGTGTCAGCAACCCCAAATCCCGACACCACCCCCAGAGAAAGATAAAAGATATATAACAACAGCTGGTTCTTATTATTCACAGGTTCTGTGTTTGTGAAACACATACTTGCTAAAATTTACTCGTAACCCCCAAATCAAAACACGCGCTTCTTTCATGGCCATTTGCGACACACACAGACAGCTCTGAGTAGCCCTGAGCTCGTGCCCGGCCAAGGGCAAACTAGGCACCTCTTGGCTCACTTCTCAGACTGTAAACAAGTGTCTTGCCTGATCTATTTAGTGTCACTTTTTGCAAACATCTTTGTGCTTTTAGTTGGAGATGTTGAGATTTAAAATGTCCTCCCAGTGTGATGCTGAATGCTCTGTCCTTCCCATCCAAGAAAGCTGTGCTTGGGGAGGAAATAAGTGCGAGGTGAGCTTCATTCAGGTATGAATTATAGTGCTGTTGGCATGGGTTCGATGTGAGCGGATCAATAATAGATATTAAGGAAGGTGCCTTTAAGCGGAAACGCTCGCAAAACAAGGTTACGTATTGATCGGGCGATGCAAATGCTGTGAGCTGAGGGAGCGACAGTTCACTGTCACAAAAGCCAGCTCGACTATACTAAGCCCCGCTGTCCAGCACAGAGTCGCACAAAGAGGTCTGGTTGTATTTATGCATGAGTGGGCACACGAGATCCCACTCATCTGGGCACGTAGGTGTACAGAGGTGCTCTGCTCCATGTACTAAACACCAGCACCGGTGCCAGAGGACCCTCAGGTCTCCTCCGAGGGACGTAATGACCACATGCAAGAGCTTAGGTGGTCGAGTCAGACCCTTCTGGATTCAAATCCCAGCTTATCGCAAGCTGTGGGCCTCCAGGGCCCATTTCCTTATGCACAAGTGAGTGAATCATTGTCATAACCATAAAATGAGGCTGTGGAGGTGCCTGGCTCACAAGCCACAGCCGGGATAGTTTCCAGCAGGTGGTAGGACGGAGCCTTTTAAGGTCTATTTGCCCAGGGCGTTTAAGAGGACTGAGGAAAGCCACGCTTGCTGCCTCCTCCCCTCTTCCTTAGCAGACTGGCCTTCCTGCTCACACTAGCCCTGGCATCCATCTGCCGCGCTGTCTCCAACAGTGTTTGTAGACCAGGAACCAGCAGCCAGAGCCAGGAGGTGCCCAGAGGCAGGCGGGTGCAGAGCCCTAGACTGGCTGCCCACAGGCCACGTGCTGCTGTAGACTACTTTTCTTTGGCCTGTGTGTGCATTTAATTTCATTTATGAATTGAGATATTTTTAAATCCAGACTCTGGTTTGCCTTAACCAAAAGATCTTGCAGCTCTGTGCCTGGCTGAGGCTGAGAAGCAGCTCCTGTTGCCAGCATTCCTACCAGAATTCTTGCTCCTAAGCCTGCTGTTTCATTGGTAGCTGCCTAGCAGTGGCGTTTGGAACCTCCAGGCCATCAGTCCCATTTTATAGTAGGGGGTCTGAGGGCAGGCTGGGGTGGAAGTTGTCCCAGGTAAATTGGTGGTAGAGTTGGGATTCAAACCTGAGTCTTGCAGCTCTGAATCTGGGGCACTAGGTCACACAAAGAGGGTGGAAACAGAACACAGGATTTGGGCCAAGGGGGGTTAATCCTGTTTTTAAAAGGCTGCTGGGTTGGAGAGGTACAGCAGAGAACACCATCTCCGGCTACCAATAGTAAAGAGCCCAGCCAGCTGGCCTGGCCTATGCTGCCCTCCCTCCCCTGTAAGATAAACTCTGGCAGAGCTCTGTCGACACAGCACACTCAGATATCCCTCCCTCCTGCCTCCCCCCCTCCCCGCCCCATGCAGCAGTGATCTTCACAATCATAGGAGACCCTGGTGTGGATTCACAGAGCATTCTGTGCTGGGCAGAATCCAACTGGAGAACTTAGTTCTTAGCAGAAGATTGGCCATGAGCTTTTGCTTCCTCATCAGCAAAATAGGGTTTCAGCTGCGAAGATTTAAGTAGATAATGCTGAGCCTGCCACACACTGCCCAAGGGACACTAGTTTCTTTCTCGTATTTTATAAGCCAAGGCCCACAGACAAGCAGTTAATTCATCCCAAGAAGGTCATGGGATTAAAACAAGCTCCTTTAGCCCTGACTGGGTAATTTTTAAATGTTAAATATCATTACATTTATGAAGGTAGTTATTACAGTTACACAAGTAGCAGCACACACCTCAAAAAAACTCCAGTTTTGTTGCTCAAAGAGAAGCCACTGATTAATGTGATGGCTACTCCTTCTAGGTTTTTTCTAAGGATAGGAAAAAAGTTTTGGGGGGGATGGTTATGAGAGCTTTATATCTTCTAAAAATTTAACATGATTTAAGAATTGCCCATGATATGATGTATACTTTATATAAACATTTTATGGGCTGTGTAATATTCCATTTCTGGGTCCATCACAGTGAACATCCCTCTGTCGAACATTTAGACTTTCTCACTATCAAAAATGATGTTAGACTAGATGACATTGTGAATAATTATTTTTCTGTATTTATAATTTCCTCAGCGTGATCCCAGTGGTGGGTTTATAGAGTCAATGCATGTGCTGTTCTCGAAGGCTGAGTTGCCACTTGACATCCCCACCCAGAACTCAGGCACGTCAGCTGTGTTTTCCATTCCACAAAACCAGCAGCACTTAATCTGGCTCCTACAAAGCCAGGTGTTCAAGCCCAAACACAAGAACTCTCCAAGCTCTATGTACCCTTGGCCTTGGGGCAGGTATCTTCATGCCATGTGGCAAGGGGTAAAGTGAGCATCCTGGAGAGACTTAGCTCAAAAGTGGCCACCCTTTAAGATTGAAAGCAAGTGCCCAAAGCGTCTGCCTTCCCCTAACCACTGCCCTTCTTATCACATGGTAGCTCTGGCAGGCTTCTGTCAGTATTTACCCAGTGTTTACTGTGTGCTGGGTCGTGGACGTGCCAGGGATTGGTTGGGCAGGGGCAGGAGAGCATCTCTCTGCATATGTCAAGGGGCACCACCCTTGAGGAGGATCCTGAAGGGTGGATACAGAGCTGCCTGTGGAGGAGCATTCCAGAGTCAGCCAGGGGCAGGGGTTAACATTACAGGGCACAGAAAAGCAAGGAAGCTACAGGGGCTGGGCACCGCTAGCCCACGCAGTGTGGGGGCTGCTGGGGAGCAGCGAGGAAGCCTGGTGCTGGGGAGCACCCTTTGATCCTACAGAACAAAGTACTGAGCAAAGGAATGACAGGGCCAGGCTTACGATATAAAAGATAACCCTGGACTAGTTCTGCTGAGAATGGGCTGGGAAGGGCCCAGGAGAGGCAACAGGAGAGCAAGGATGGGAGTAGAGGAGGAAGTGAGAGAAGCAGAGATGGTGTCAAGAGAAATTGAAGATGTAGGGCCTGGATGAAATAGCGGAAGAAATAGGGGAGGGTCGCGATGACACCCAGGCCTCTGGGTAGAATGGACACTAATCAGAGTCTACCCTGTGGTCAGCCCCTGCTTCTCCTTTAAAACAGAACTTTATTTTTGTTCAGGGTTGGCTATAACCCCAGCTGAAAACATACAAATATCTAGAGTGGCTTTTCTGGCCCGTGTGCTGTGAACAGCAACTTCTGGACTTGAGGCTCTGGCTTGTTGTCCAGCATGCGAGGGCCCCAACAGACGTGGGCACGATGCCTTCAGCACCTGGTGTCTGTCCAGGTGCCAGGAATGGGGCTGGGTGTGGAATCAAGCCCCAGCAAAAACGCCTGCTGGAGGGAGTCAGGCAGCCAAACAGGTGACCTAGAAGCCCTGAGAACCCCAGTCAGCCCAGGTGCCAGGAAAGCCTCCGAGAATGCCACTGCCCCTCTCTGTGGGACATGCGTGGGAGAGCACTGGGAGGCAGGATGCTCAGACCCTGTCACTGACTCAGAGGCCTAAAGGGCTTCTCTCTGGACCTCTTGGTACCTAATCCTATAAAATGCTAATGTCACTGGCACCTCACAGAGCTGTGACAGTCTGACCTCTGCCTCCCATGCCAACCTTGCCTCCCATCGCATCTTCCCAGGCATCATCACTGAGCCACCACCCTGCGGTTCCCCATGCTTTGCCTTTGCAGGCCCTCTGCCTAGAGGCCCCTCTAAACTGCTCTTCCATGCTCAGTTCAAGCATGGATGCCTGTGCGCAGTGTCCCAGTAGACAGAGTACACACCCTGTCTCGGTGGCCCCCTACACATGCTCTAGAGCATGTCTTGCACCAGTAGGACACACCATTCACACACCTCTCCACCTGTGGGCCACTATCTCCTGTCATTTGAGGACTTACAGGGTTTCTAAACCTACACACACACACACACGTGGTTTAAGTCAAATGTGTAGTGCCAGTGAGCTGTGAAAGGGCTCTGGCAGAGAGGTAATGAGGCTCACCCAGGTTCTGCCAAGCCCATCTTCCTCCATGAAGACATGGCTCCTCCTCTTCTGCTCCCCAGAGACCTCTGGGTGGTAGCAGGTGCTGTCTACACGCACCTGTGACCCGTGGCCCCTGGAGTTGGGTTAGTCGGCTGTGTGCTCTGCTCCGGCTCCGTACCCACAGAAAGGTACTGCTGTGTCAGCCCCCAGACAAGGTGGGGAGGCTCAGAAAAGCCACCTGGCTCATCGGGGTCACAGGAGTAGCAGGCAGCAAGGCACCCAGCCATGGGCCAGCTTCCTCTCGAGATCAGAGGCCTGAATCTACACAGGACCTCAGGGGTTCAGGCCCCTTTCCCAAAATGAGGCTGCTGGAAGGTATGAGCTTTAAGTACTTCTAGGTCCTCCTGTGATTCTAGATGGCACTGGAGAAGAATTGCATTCAGAAGCAGGAGTCTGTCAGGAAGCCAGTCTATCGGCTTCTCTCTCCCTCACCCACACATGCACATGGGCACACATATGCACGCTGAATGTGAAACTCCCACAAAGCCCTATAGGGCAAGACACAGGCTGGGAGAAAATATCTGCAAAATATATACTTGACAAAGAACAGGTATCCAGAATGTAGAAAGAAATCTTACAACTCAACGATACGATGACCACAAGCAAATGGTTAAATATTTTAAAACAGGCAAAATTTGTCAATAGATACTTCACCAAAGAAAATATATGAATGGCAAATAAGTACACAAGAAGATGTTCAACATCGTTAGTCATTAGGGAAATGCAAATTAAAATCATAGGTGCTATCACTGCACATTTGTTAGAAAAGGCTAAAGTTAAAAGACAAACCATGTCGGTTATCGGTGAGGATGTGAAGGAACTGGGTCTCTCAGACTGTGCTGCTGGGAATGTAAAGTGGTATGCCACTTTGGGAAGCTGTGGGCAGTTTCTCAAAAAGCAAAATATATATATATTTACCAAATGATCACTTCATTCATAGGGATTTACCCACGAGAAAGGGGATATGTAATCATAAAAAGCCTTACATGCAAATGCTCAGGCAGCCTTATTTGTAATAACAAAACCTGGAAAAACACAAATGTCCATTAACAGAAGACTGCATCAACAAATCAACAAATCATGGCTTATCCTTCCATACAATGGAATACTACTCAGCAATGAAAAAGAATAAACAATTTACTACAACATAAATCTCAAAATAATTATGCTTAAAGAAGCCAGACCCTCCCCAAAAGGTACAAACTGTATGATTCCATTTATTGAAAAGTCTAGAAAATGCAAAGTAATCTATTATGATGGAAAGCAGATCAGTGATGGCCTGGAGATGTGGGGATAAGGAAAGTACAAGAGGGAGGAATTCCAAAGGGGCAAGAGGAAACTTGTGGAGATGATGGATATGTTCAGCATCTTAATTGGGGCGATGAGTTCATGGGTTATACATTTTATTAAAATTAGCAAATTGTACATTTTAAATATGTGCTGCTTGCTACACATCGAATATGCTTTGATAAAGCTGAAAGGAGGAGAGGGAGGGGGGTGGGACAGAGAAGCAGGAGGAGCCTTTCTTGGGAGCCAGGCGCACACACATACAATGTGCACAAGACAGGCACGCTGAGCACGGGACACTGAAGCTCCTTGGCACTCCCCAGAGTCCTCACCCCAGATTCCATCCCCTAGGGGAACCCAGGCCTCTTCTCACGTGTGCATTGTTTCCAGAGCACTTCCTGTGCCTGGCTTGGGCTGCACACTAGGATTTCAGAGGTAAATCAAGCACAGTCCTATCAGTAATGCTGCTTCCCCAAATTCAACCTAAACATCTCACCACACGTCCCAACCACCCCAGGCAGGCTGCTTCACAGGATCTGTAAGAGCTCTTATTTCTGGATCTGATTTTGTTCCCAGCCTTGCCACCTCTAGGGAAAAAGCCTTCAAATAGCTCACAACTCCAGCAGAATTCTGTCTTTTATCTCCACTAAACAGACATCCAAGTCGAAGCCCAACTGATTTCTAATAATTGACTAATGAGATCTGAGTGCAGCCTTTAGAGAATCACAGAGATTCAGGGCAGGAAAGAATCTGATGGCTTCAAAGTCCAACATCCATCTGATTGAAGCTCCTTTTCTCAAAAATACATTCTGGTCTGCAGTCACCCAGACACATGTGGTTCCAACACCCCCAGTGAAAGTGCATTCTTTGGAAAACCAAGAAAGTTTTTTTGTTTGTTTTTTGGAGAACAGAACAGGCAGATTTATTAAAATGCACTGTTGAGAGAAGCAGCCGGCAAGACAGGAGAGGTCTGCTATGGGAAAACCAAGCACATTATATGGTTCTTTCCTTGTAAGTGTGGACAGAAGGAAACCTGCATTTATGAAGCACCTACTGGGTGCTAATGCCCCCAGCAGGGGGCCTCCCACATGTGGGATTTCTAATCAAGCTTACTTCTCACACTAGTTTTGTTCCTCTTAGGTCAGGATTACGATTATGATGCCCATGTTTACAACCAAGGAGATGCAGGGTCAGTGCCCAGCATCCACAGTCACAAAGCTCATCCATGGCAGAGGCTGAGATGGCAGCGCAGGCGTGTCCAGCTCCAGGTCCACGTCCTCTGTTCACCACTACTTGGGGGCAGGGAGGGGGCCTGACACTGCCTTGGCTCTGTGCCTGGTCTCCTCCATCTGGCTGGTTGACCTGGGACCCATGTATGACCCACCTCCTGCTGAGGCCCACCCTCTCCCAGGCAGGGTTCTCCGAGTGAGGAGCCCCCTTCTCTGTGGGTGGGAAGGGGCCCTCCAGGAAGTCACGTCATCCTCCAGCCCCAATCCAGGCCCTGGCACCAGCAGTGCAGGCTGGTCTCTGCAGGGCAGGGCTTGGGAGCCAGGTTGGGGCAAGGCGGCCGCCACACTCTGGGAGGGCAGAGCTCAGGGTGGTGACTATGAGCCTCGCCTCTATGAAGGCGCTCTGGGTGTCGGAAGAGGGACCCCAAATGATGGCCTTTGAGCTGGGTCTTGACCCAGCTCTGAGCATGGAAGACAGCAGTGGTGGCAGGAAGGGCATTTTGGGCAGAGGGAACATGGGAGGTAGACAGGGAAGGCCGTGGAGGGAGCACAGCGGCCACGGGTCACTTAGGCAAAGAGGTTCAACATGCCTTTCTCCGGCCCCCAGGCCAGCTCACCCCATCAGGCCCAGCACTAGCAATCTTGTCCTAAGAGCCCAGTGAAGGGCCAAGGAGGGAAGAATGGACATTTGCAGGCCCGAGAGAACAGATGGTAAGAAAGAGAATGAAGGGGCAAAAGGAGAAAAGGGGGTTGGGGAGAAAGTGGGCTCTGGCATGTGGAAGCCTGGTCACGTAGTGGCTGTGAAGCGCGGGGCCCGCTGCTTGCGCTCCCCACTGCTCGATGCTCGATTCCTCCTCTGGATAAATAATGCTCTCCTCAACAGGTCACACGGGCCCACGCCAGGTGCACAGTGCAGCTGTCACCATCAGCCTGGACTGAGGTGGAACCAAGAAGGGCAGAGAAGCAACTGAGGCCAGCAGAGGGGTGCATGTGGGAGCACGTGCTGTAGGCCAGCGCCCTCACGCAGAAGAGCTCAGCAGGTCACATCTCCTTTCAGGCAGGGATGATGGATCCCTCCTTGAGAACAAGGCCCAGGGGCTCAGAAAACATGCCTGAGGTCTCAGGCTAAAGGGTGGCAGAACTGGAGGTGAGCCAGGCCCTGGCTCCAAGGAGGTCCAGGGTGCTTCATAGGTAGGAACTGCCCCCAGCCTCACCCCTCTGCTCTGTGGACCACAATAGAGGGTGGTTGCCTCTGTCAGATGCCTCAGAAGGCTGTCCCGTGATGCTCAGCACACCTTTCAAAGAACAGAAACAGACTGCCTTTTGCTGAAGCTGCCAGACTGGTGGGCTCACTGCCCTCAGACCTGCTGGCTTGACCCATCCTATGCCGCTCTCTTTCCCCAGCCCTTACTCTGCAGCCCTTACACTACTGCTCCAGTTCCTCCTCTTCTCCCTGCCCCTTCTCCTCCAGGAAGCCTTCCCAGATAGCCTCATCCTACACCTACTCTTTTTCCTGGGAACACCAGTGGCACCCACTGCTTGTATTATTTATGACCAGCCTTATACTAGAATCCCAACTCATCTGGCTTGCTGGACTATCAAGCACAGCTATTTCAAACACCATCCCACTGAAGAGCGCTTCTGGAGCATGCACGCCTCTGTGAGCAGCCCAGATGAAGATGAGCTTTCGAAATAGCCTGTTTTGTGGTTAGACCGTGTTTCACGTTAGAATGCTCTTCCTGGCTGGCACTTGTAAGTGCTGCTCAGGAGTCCATCCGGCAGGGAAGCACAGGCTGTCTCCTGTCACTGCACTTTGAGCACCTGCAGACAGTTACCTTGACCCTGAAGACAACTATCTGCCATGACAGTGTGGGAAGCCACGTCCAATATACTCTGTGGCTCTATAATTCTGGCCAGTTGCTTCTCTCCTCAACTCTTATCCCCCTGCACGCCACCATGCCTCTTCTGTAGGAGGTGGTGGCTTTATTATTTTGCTCATTAATCACTTGTTGGTCACTTATTTAGAGAAGGTATAGCTTAGAGAGATGGACATATCCTCTGTGCCTAGCAGGCATTTCGGCACAGGCCCTGCTACCCAGCTGCCGAGCAACTCCACACCAACCGCTCCCTCTCTGAGCTCGAGTCCTCATCTCCAAATGCGGGTAACATATGCTAAGTGGGCCCGAACTGCCTTGGCGTCTTCTTGTTTCCTCTGACCCATCTGTGTTTTGGCCTTTCTTCTGGATCTGCCCGGTTTCCCAGGCCCGTCAATAAAGCAGCTCCCCTTTCCCTGAGCATTGCTGCAGGGCGGGCACAGTGCTGAGTGCTTGTGATGAAGATTCTAGTCCATCCCCGCCTCCCCCTCTACAGCAGGTACGGCTGTGGCTGGCATCTAATACTGGGAATGCACAAGTAGAGCAGAGTGTTCTGTATGCCAGGCCTGTGCACCTTTTCATGGTCTTATAGACTAGCCAGCTCCCTGAGGGTAGGGACACAGTGGCTGCTCCACATATCGGTTGGGTGAGTGCAAGGAAACACGCCTTTGCATTCCCCCACAGTGGCCAGACGAAGCCTTACCACCGCAGGTGCTTGATGAATATTTGATTAACTGGAGCCACAAAAATGTAAGCTGTCAACGAATCCCAGAATGCCCCGACAGCCAGTCACCGGGTCCCTCCTGCTAATGAGGGACTCCTCGGAGGTCCTTCCTGAGAAGGTGCTAGTGTTCCTCCACAAGCAGATCCCAGCCCTCCCCGGTGGGGGCCGCATGGGGCTGTGTGTGGAGAGACGGCTTGCTGTCCAGGCCACCTCAGAGCCAAGTGGCAGCAGGACCTCGCTCACCAGGCCAACAGTGCTGGAAAGAACAGGAACTGCCCCTCCCGCTGAGGAGCTGCCAGAGCCTCTCCTCATGCCTGTCTCTCAAGGGTTCTGTGCCTGGCTTCACAGGCCATCAGCCAAGTTTCCTCTTCTGAGGCTGCCGCCCCAGCTTCCAGAGACCCTGTGGTAGGGAGACCCTGACAGCACCAGCTTCAAGGGGACACAGAGGTGTTTGGAGGCCTCAGTCCCTATAGACTCAGTCTTGAGAGTTACTGCTGGAAAGGGAGGGGTGCAATTAGGGCCTTTGAAGCTGCCCCCGACCCCTCACAGCTGATCACAAGCTGCCAAAGTAAGGCCAAGCTCCTAGCCTTGCAGAGAAGGCATGACCCACCCCAGCTCGAGCCCTTCCAGCCTTGTTGCCCTCCTCTGCCTCATCCTTGGCCTGCATCTACTGAGCACTGTGTGCTCAGCATTTAGAACTTTATATTACAGGACATGGACTGATGGCCTGCCACAGGCACATTTAATACGTGCACCGAAAAATGCTGCCTAGCTTGCCACATTTTAAAGATCAAAAAACAACACAAGCATCCAGATTTCTGTCTTATAAATCAGAAACTCTGACAACCTTGGGTCCACATTTTTACACAGCAAGAATGGGGGGACGGGTTAGCAGCCATCTCTCTCAAGCAAGCCCTTTCCAGTTTGCTACGAATACCCAGCAAGTTGTTTTGTCTCTACAGACAGTCAGGTTTGAGGGCCCTTGCTTTGTGAGTTTTATTATGGCATGTAGCCCTCTAGTGACCTAGTGAGGTGAGTGGAGTCAGTCCCCATTCTACAGATGAGGAGACAAAGGTTCTGAGAGAAAAGGAGACCAGGCCAGGATTGGGATCCACGCAGGCTGACTCTAGGGTCAAACCCAAGGACATAGTCTGCAGGAAAGTGGGCAAGATATGGATAATGCAGTGAGCTTTTAATAAAGCAGAATGTGTTCAACTTGAAGGAATACCTAACCTTTGGGGATAGAGGTGTAACAATGCTCTTCCCTTCACTGTAGTAGCAGTAAACAGAACTCTATTTAAATGTCATTTGAATGTCCTCATGAGGCAAAAGAAAAAGTTGGCCAACCTAGGACAGATTCCCAAATGCCCTGACCCAAGCTAAGAGCCCGAGCTCTGCCACACGTCCCAGGACAGCACACGGCAGGGTCTGTGTGGCCTCATGGGCCAGGCCATCACCTCCCCATACACCTGATTCAAACCAAACCCCAAGCCAAAACCAAACCCAGACACCTCTATCTGCATCTCATCCTCCTTTGACGAGGCAGTGTTTGAATTGGTGCTTTCTCGAGCCTTCTCCCTCCAGCAACCCACAACATTTGTTTGTGCCTTTTGTGAAGTTATCTGGATGCAATCCACTCTGTATCCCCAATGTGATCTAGAACAGAAGAAAGCATTGCTGATCTGTTAGCCAGTCAGAGCCTGCGGAGCCCCCAGAAATCACCACCTCGTCGTGTGGGAAGCCAAGGGCCTGGCCTTGGGCCACCCAGGCAGCTGGCAGCAGAGCTGAAGTGAGGACACGAGCCTCTTGACATCTCGGTGCTGGCTCTTTCCACTGCACCAGGCTGTTCCAGACACTCCCTTTTGGTTGGCTCAGCACCTCAGTTCAGAGGACAGGGCTGAACATGTGACAAACACGTCACAAAAAAAAAAATCTGTTCAAGAAGAGGTGCAAAACAGCCCGGGAACGCAGGCTACCCCTTTTCCAAGGGCCCTCAGCTCTAGCTTCCCATCACAGGCCTCAAACCTCCACTGGGTACGAGCTGCCCATCAAATTAAGGAATGGCCCTCAGGCCTCTGCACATCAAATTAGGAACAGTCCTCAGGCCTCAGTGACTGGGTGCAGAAACCCCATCTGGCTCAGAAATGCCACTTCCATCAGACCAGTGTTATGATGTTGGTCTTTCTGGGTAACCTGAGGGAATGCCTTTACTGTTCTAGGTGCTAGGTGCTCCAGAAAGGTGGACTGCTGAGAACAGAGAGGAGGAAGAGTTCCCTAAGTCTGCTGGATGACTGCAGGGACTAGGCAAGCTTTACCAGAGGAATGTCAGTGTCATGCTTCTAGAAGCTTCTAAGGACAGGAAAGGTTCTGTTCTACCTGGGACAAATGGATAGTTCCAACATAACTGTGCCACAGACTGACTTTGGCCAATTTTTCAGCTGCTGGGGTCAAAAGTCAGTCTTTAGAATTGTTTAGAAAACATCCTAAGCTGAGTGTCATCATTATTATTATATTATTATTATTATTATTATTATTATTATTATTATAATATAAGCACCAGTATTACTAGACATTGATTCAATGTAGAAAAGAAAATGATAATGGTATCATCTCTCTAAAGCCTTCTTGGCCCCCCGAGGAGGAAAGACCAAGCCCTCTCTCTGTCTCTATCACATGCCATGTTACTGTGCATCAAAGCTCCTAGAAGATTTATCATGCCTGTGTGTAGGTATTTGGCTCCCTCTGTTAGACGTGAGCTTCGTGAACTGGAGATAGCCTCTTACTCACTTAGCCCAGGGCCTGGCTAATGTAATAAATACATTTTGATTGATGTTTATCTAGATAAGGAATCCCCTCTGCTCCTACTCTGGGACAAGGTGGCATGTAGGCCTGTCACCGCCAGTAGATGCTTCTAGCCCACCTGTAGGAAGGGAACACCGACTCTCAAAGGAAAGGCTTTCCCCACTGTTACTCCACCAGTGAGAAGGCGCAGACTAAAAGCAGTTCTTCTGTCCCCCAGGGCAGTGTATTTCCAGCAAAGTTTCTCAGATTTTGTAGCACACTGGCCATGGAACTGTGGGTGAGACCCTTGCGTCCCTGGCCCGGCCTTCTCACTTACAAAACGAGTAAAGGTTTAGTGTGACACAGTTCCAATGGGATTGTCTGAAGAGGAAATGAGTGAACCCACGTAAAACAACATATGGAAAGCCTCAAAAAGATGTCTGACACTTTCACCATTCTCTGTGATAAAGGGGCACCCACCACCCATCAGCCAGGCAGAGCCCACAGGGAAAGGAAGCCTTGCCTTGCCTTACACTTCGACCCAGCAAATCCCCTGCAGGAATCACTCTGGGGAAATACCTGCGCTTGTGTCATGAACCTGTCACAGCTCTCCCTTCTCCATGCGTGTGCATGCACGCATGCACGCGCACACACACACATACACACACACACACAAACTTATAGTGACGACAGTATAGGGCATACTGTTTCAGGCCAGATAGCACTTCTGCACTTTTAGCTATAGGATCTCGAGCTAGTGCCTCTCTCTCAGCCCCGGTGTCCTCATCTTTTATATAGGTGCAATTTGTGGGGGTTACCTGAGACAGGTAGTGGGGGTTACCTGAGACAGCATTATAGCTGATGCTGAGAATCAGAAATGACACTGAGAGTAACACGATTTGTCCTATTTTAATTTAATAAAATCCACTTGACAAAGTGTCAAAACCAGAAGGGGCTTTAGGGACCATGTCGTGCAGTCCTCTTATTTTATAGCTATGGACTCTGAAGAGGGTTCTCTTGAGAGGAGATGTGATTGGCCAAGGTCACACACACAGTAGAACGAGGCCTAGGGCCTGGGTGTCCTGGTTTTCTACTGTGTGTCCAGTTAGGCCCATTTCATTCTCCTTATGTGTCCCCTTCTGCCCAGACTCACTCTCTTCTCAGCCCCTCCTGGGCCTTCCCCTTCTCCTGCCCCAGCCAGCACCATCCGCTGCCAATGCCATCACAGCCCCAGGCACACTGAGCCCCTCAGCCTTACCGGCAGTAGCGATCACAACAGGGTAAGGAATAACAACAACAACCAACAGCCTGCACAGTGCCCTATACTTAGAGGTGTTCTCACCTACCCTGTCAATACATTTCCAAAGTTTCTCTCTAATCTCATTGGCTTAGGGACATAACTCCCTCAAAGCTATTTGATGCAACACTTACTGAGCCTCGCCCCGGACTAGAGGTTGGCGACACAGAGAGGGAAAGACAGACACTGGCTGGGAGGAGCTCACAGTCTACTGGGGATTTGGGGTAGATGTGGCCAGAGCTTCTTTTGGTCCAAAAGGTGCAACATCAAAGTGTTCTGTCCCACCCTCTCTCTCCTGCTCTGAAGGAGCCTAATGTAACTGTGGAATAAATTGGAGCAAGAAATGGTGAGTGCTCGGCTGAAAATGACAGCAGGAGGGAAGATAAAGAATAGAAAATAGGGATGCCCAAGACTTGAGTGCTTTGTCTCAGGGAGATTTGGTGAGAGACCCCAGGGGCGCCCGGAAGCAGCAGTGGGACCCGCATGAAGTTCAGAAGCCTCAGTCGCTGCCCTGTGGCAGACACAAGATGTGGCCACTTCTGCCCTTGGATGCCAAGATTTCCCAAACCCAGTGCTGGCCTATATGTCCCTCCTTGGGGCCACCCTTTGCTAGAATGAAGCCACAGCCCTTGCAGTGGAAACATCTGTACCTCTGGGTTGCTTCCCCGGCTTCAGCCCGCAGCCCCACACGCTCCAGCATTCATGCTCCCTTGGCAGGGACACCCTCTGCAGGGGCGTGAAGAGGCAGGCAGGGCGGCAGAGGGGGAGAGGAAGGGACTAGGAGCAGCTACTCCTCCTCTCTTGCCTCCTCTACCTGGCAAGCTGTGTCCCTGA